GACTGTTGCTGCTGTAGGATGGTGAATGTCGTACAGTCATTGAGCCGACTTTGGATGCTGTTGCTTTTAGTAGTGCATTGAGTGTGTCCTCGTTGTCGCTTTGTAGTATGCCTTGTGTTCTTCCGCATTCAAAGATGAATGCTTGTAGGTAGGTTGTTGATCATGTAGTCCATCATTGATGGTTTGTCCGGAACCAATACCGCCATGCACAGTTGTGTAGTGACATCCACTGCTGTTAAGACTGGTATGGTCTTCGGATCTTGTTGTGATTTGATGTAGGCAAAATCCACTTGGATGATGGGTTGTCGTGATTGTTGTTTCTTGTAGTTGTCCTGGCGTCCTTTGCCTTGCACGCAAATTGGACACCAATTTCTGTATGGTAGGTGTGTCAAGTTGTGCTCTGCTATTTGTTGTGGAGTTGGTTGTTGAGGTTGTCGGAGTCCTCTTGCTTTGCGTGCTTCGTGATGTTCGTGGTATTGCTCTTCGTCGTAGTCCTCTTGGAGGTATTCGTAGTCTTTCTTGATGGTGAACCTTGTTGTGCCTTTCCATTGGAATGGTAGTGCGGCATTGCCCGTGACTGTCCAGTCATCTTTGCGTTGTGAGACTTCGCCGAAGCTGTTGTTTGAGATTGTAGTTCGGAAGGGTTCGAGAGTGTTGATTGATGGGTGTCCTGGTCCATCTGTAGGTGTGAACAATGTGGTTCGTAGTGTGACGTGATGTCTTATCCAGTGTTCACCTTGTCTTTCCCAGTAGTCTTGGTTGTCTTCTTGTGCCGTTGGTGGTCGATCTATCGTTGGTTTTGCTTGCGTAGTGTCCAATTCTATGGATGGAGCTGCTTTGGGTCTCCATACCTTTGGTGGAGTTCGTAGTTGTAGTTTTGGTTTTGTCGTAGGTGTCTCTGTTGTAGGTTGTGGTGCTGAGCTTTGTCGTGGTGGTGTTGTCTTTGTAGTCAGCCTATGTGTAGATGCGACTTTTCTTCGGAATCTGGTTTCTCCAGTCCAGTCATCACCTTCAAGTCTTCTTTGTAGTTCCTGTTTGGAAAGTTGTTTGGTGTTCTCTTGTAGTTGCTCTTGTTCTTGCCCTTGTCTATTGATGATGGTTAGTCGCCAATCATCTAGTTGTTCTTCTGGTATTGGGCATCCGTTGTTGTGTGGTGTGAACAGTGCTTTGCGTGGTCGTTTGTGGACTCGGATGGCGTAGTCACCATCGAGTTTCCAGTAGTCAGTGTTTCCACCAAGGATTCGTCTTAGTCCTTGGTCTGTGTGAGTTAGTGGTGCAATTTGTTCTTGTCGTTGTTGTTGTTTTGTCTCATGCGTAGGCTGGATTACAGCAATGGATTTTCCATTGTCTGTAGTCATTGGGTAGATGTCGTGTCCTGTAGGTATGTTGATCTTTTCTGCTCGTAGGTAGAAAAGTCCTGAGTGTCGAATAAGCTGTGCTTGTTGTTGTCCATGTGAGATAGTGCAGTGTCTCGGGTTGAAGTCCAGTCCATATCCTCTATCAAGTAGTCTTGATGCACTGAGGATGGGGTACTTCACATCACAGACGTAGTAGGGTATCATGATCCTGAGGTTGTCCTGCTCGTAGGGAACGTACTTGATGCCGTAGACGGGGATCTTCTTGTTGGTCACAGTGTAGAGTTGTGGAACTGATTCTCCACAAGGTCGTAGTGGAAGATCCGGTGCGTAGTCCTTTGGGCAAACATGTGTAGACGCTCCTGAGTCAATCAGTAAGTGGTGGTAGGACTTGAAGTTGGAGTACATAATGTAGTGAGTGATGTTGTTGTCAAGTTTTCCTCGTTTCTGTCGTTGTGTTGCTGCTGCAATGTTGAGGTGTAGTTGAGGTCTGTCCTCTTGTAGGTACTGTTGATAATTGGTGCTGTGGTCATTCCATGATGTTGTATGAGTTGCTCTTTTCCCAAGTAGTGATTTGGGTTTGTGCTTACATTGTAGCGGTCTTCCTTGTCTGATGTGTCCTATGGTGAGGTGCGACTCGTTGATGCCTCCGATGTAGTTTGCTTCACCTTCATGACTGTAGTCATTCCAGTCCCAGCTGTTGTCGTTCCAGTCGTAGTCGTTCCAACTCTCCTCCATGTAGTTCACATCATGTCCATGTCCTTCTTCTCCTTCGTAGTACCAATCCGAAGTGTCGTGCATGTCTTGAGGTAGTTCCTCATTGTTGTGCTGAGTTTCTTGTTCTTGCTCAGGATGTTGTAGTTCTTCTCCTTCTCCGATGTGCCAAACCGGCACTCTGCAATCGCCCAATGGCCAGGTTTGCCACATCTGTGGCATGTCATGTAGTTGCTGTTTCCTTTTGCTTTTGATTTGCCGTAGTTGCTTTGGCCTTTGTAGCCTTTGCTTGATCCGTAGCCTTTGGATCCGTAGCCTTTTCCTTTTCCTTTGTTGTAGCCATTCTTGTTGTATCCTCCTTTGTTACCTTTGTCAAATCCTTTGTAGTGGCCTTTGCTTCTGTACTTGCCTTTTCCTTTGTTTCCTTTGTAGGATCCTTTGCCTCCATATTTGCTTTTGCCTTTGTAGTTTCTTCCTTTCCTCCAAATGTTGTCCACGTCCATGGGTGCTGTTCCACCATTGTAGTTTGTGCCAACAGCTGAGCTCGCTCTTGAGAATGCAGATATGGTCTTGTAGTAGTCCAGGATGACAACTCTGATCTCGTTGTAGTTCGTGATCTGTCCAGCACGTAGTTGGAGATGTTGTTGAAGTGGCTGTTCAAACTAGAAGCATACCTCGACTCAACGACCGAGACTTCGACATGGTACTACAACTAGCACAAGCAGCTACAAGACAAATTGAAGATGCAGACATCAGAGCCCACATACGCGACCCTACACAAGCAACAAAAGCAGTAGACCTCTCACGAGATCTACACTACATCCTCATCAACATCTGCCAAGGTGCAGCAGCTACAGTGGTCAGACAAAACCGCTACAATGCCAATGGATGTGAAACACTACGGCTTGTGCACAACAGGTTCAGCCTACCAGTAGGAACACGCAGTGTTGGCTACCTCACACTACTGGAACCTACATTCAATGAAGCACAATTTGAAGAACAATTCCTACAGTGGGAGTATGACATCAACCGCTACGAGAAAGACAACGGCACAGCACTACCACTCTTCGTACTGTGAGTAGTCACCAGTGAAGAACGGTGGTGGCAGTTTGAACTTGTGTGGCCTTTCGACGTCTTCCTGCTCCTGTGTTGTTCCCGTAGTTGTGGCTCCTATTGTCTCCTCTGCTGTGTGCCCGTTGTCTGCTCCTGTAGTTGGTTGTGCTGATGCTGCTGCTGGTTCTCCTGACATGTCGTAGTAGTTGGGCATGTGGTTGCCTGTGCAGTTGTAGTACTTACTGCTGTTACTGGAGCTCCCCTATGCTTAGGATCTCAGCTCCGCTACCACGTTAAAATAAGTCGATACTTTACTACAAGTGCAAATGTTGTTCTTGCTGTAACAAACACAAATGTAGTTTCCCAGCATGCACTCTTTTCCTTGTAGACTCAAGGCCTGCGGTCGGGTAGTGTACATCATGCATGTACAGGGCCAAGTAGTACAGCATGATATTTGACATCTCTCTCTCTCTCTCTCTGTGCTGTGTGTGTGTGTCTCTGTGCGTGTGTCTCTCTGCGTCTCTCCCTCTCTCTCTCTGTGTCTCTCTGCGTGTCTCTCAGTGTCTCTGTGTGTGTCTGTGTGTCTCTGTGTGTCTCTGTGTGTGTGTGTGTCTCTGCGTGTGCGTGTGTGTGTGTGTGTGTGGGTGGGTGCGTGCGTGCGTGCGTGCGCGCGGGCGGGCGGGCGGGCTGGCGGGCTGGCGGGCGTGCGGGCGCGCGGGCGTGTCTGTGTCTGTGTCTCTGTGTCTCTGTGTCTCTGTGTCTCTGTCTCTCTGTCTCTCTGTGTCTCTGTGTCTCTGTGTCTCTGTGTCTCTGTGTCTCTGTGTCTCTGTGTCTCTGTGTCTCTCTGCGTGGGTGTGTGGGTGTGTGCGTGTGCGCGTGTGTGCGCGCGTGTGTGCGCGTGTGCGCGTGTGGGCGTGTGGGCGTGTGCGCGCGTGCGTTCGTGCGTTCGTGCGTTCGTGCATTCGTGCATTCGTGCGTGCGTGGGTGCGTGGGTGCGTGGGTGCGTGGGTGCGTGGGTGCAAGCGTGCGTGGGTGCGTGGGTGGGTGCGTGCGTGCGTGCACGTGCACGTGCGCGTGCGCGTGCGCATGTGTGCGCGTGCGCATGTGTCTGCGCGTGCGCATGTGTCTGCGCGTGCGCATGTGCGCGTCTGCGCGTGTGCGCGTCTGCGCGTGTGCGCGTCTGCGCGTGTGCGCGTCTGCGCGTGCGCGCGTCTGCGCGTGTGTGCGTGTGTGCGTGTGCGCGTGCGCGCGTGTGCGCGTGCGCGCGTGTTCGCGTGTGCGCGTGTGCGCGTGCGCGCGTGTGCGCGGGTGCGCGGGTGCGCGGGTGCGCGGGTGCGTGGGTGCGCGGGTGTGGGTGCGCGGGTGGGCGGGTGGGCGGGTGCGCGTGGGCGTGGGCGTGGGCGCGGGCGTGGGTGTTGGTGTGGGTGTTGGTGTGGGTGTTGGTGTGGGGTGGGGTGGGGTGGAGTGGGGTGGGGTGGGGCGGGGTGGGGTGGGGTGGGGTGGGGTGGGTGGTGGGGCGGGGTGGGGTGGGGTGGGGTGGGGTGGGGTGGGGTGGGGTGGGGTGCGGTGGGGTGGGGTGGGGTGGGGTGGTGTGGGGTGGTGTGGTGTGGGGTGCCCTGCGCACTCGCTTGCGCGTGCGAGTGGCAAGCGTGCGCGTGCGGCCCCGCAACCCTGCCAGAACCTGATCTGGAGCCTGTCTTGGCACTCACCCGCAAAGCTTTCAGCTGAAGAAAAATGACACTGTTGGGGGGGGGGGGGAAGACTGGAACACACATATAAATATATATATATATATACACATAATATATAAAATTATGGGGGTTGGGGGCCTCCATATCGCAATGTCAGGTCCCCAAAAGTCCCAGCTCCGGCCCCGGCTGATGCGGCCCGAGGCATCTCGGTCCAGCTCGTGGAAGACCTTCATGGGGAAAAAATGCAAGCAACCCCCTTTCTTAGAGGATACACCGAGGCATTTTTGAGTGTCCCCCTCACTTGGAGACTCCCTGGATGGCCATCAAACAGTCAGAGTTGCAGGCCTGGCAGCCGTTGGGTTCTTGGTTTGGGTTGCCCGGGGCAACCGCGCCCTTCGTTTTGTGTCCGATGTCAAAAATCGGGCGGGGGTCGGGGGTGCCCCGAAATTGGTCAAGACACGGCTTGATGTAGCGGAACCAGAAGTTTGGCTCTCCATCCATTTCTATCATTGCGTTGAGCAGGAAATGGTCAGAACAGGGGTGAAGCCCTAGATGTAAATTCCTGCGACCCAAAAACCAGCCTTTTGAGCGGAATCTCTTTTTGGGAACCCAGGAAGGAGGTCCATGTTCAAAGGAAGTTTAACAAGAAACTTCCGTAGTACTGGAACTAAATGAGCTAGCTGCTTTGACATATAGCTATGACAGGTAGCTAGCATGACAAATAGATAGCTTTGACATATAGCTAGCTTGACAGATAGATAGCTTTCCAATAGGCTTGCATGACAGATAGATAGCTTTGACATATAGCTAGCTTGACAGATAGATAGCTTTCCAATAGGCTTGCATGACAGATAGATAGCTTTGACATATAGCTAGCTTGACAGATAGATAGCTTTCCAATAGGCTTGCATGACAGATAGATAGCTTTGACATATAGCTAGCTTGACAGATAGATAGCTTTCCAATAGGCTTGCATGACAGATAGATAGCTTTGACATATAGCTAGCTTGACAGATAGATAGCTTTCCAATAGGCTTGCATGACAGATAGATAGCTTTGACATATAGCCAGCTTAACACGTAGATAGCTTTCTCAAGTATAGATTTCGTGGCAGGCGCAGCACTTTCGCAAGCACTCTCTGCGAGCTGGGGGATGGCAAGATGCAGAAAACGTTGGCGCTGTGCGTGAATTGGGCTTCCGGACTGTGCGCAAACCACCTCGGCTGCGACGCCTGTACGGAGGCGGTCTCGGAACGGTCTCGGAACGGTTCTCGGAACGGTCTCGGAGACGGGCCCATTGGCACGGCCGCGCGAAGGTTTCGCAAGGTTTGAATTGCGTGGCAGGCGCAGCACTTTCGCAAGGTCAAGTATAGATTTCGTGGCAGGCGCAGCACTTTCGCAAGGTCAAGTATCGATTTCGTGGCAGCGCAGCACTTTCGCAAGCACTCTCTGCGAGCTGGGGGATGGCAAGATGCAGAAAACGTTGGCGCTGTGCGTGAATTGGGCTTCCGGACAATGCGCAAACCACCTCGGCTGCGACGCCTGTACGGAGGCGGTCTCGGAACGGTCTCGGAACGGGTTCGGAACGACGGGCCCATTGGCACGGCCGCGCGAAGGTTTCGCAAGGTTTGAATTGCGTGGCAGGCGCAGCACTTTCGCAAGGTCAAGTATAGATTTCGTGGCAGGCGCAGCACTTTCGCAAGGTCAAGTATAGATTTCGTGGCAGGCGCAGCACTTTCGCAAGGTCAAGTATCGATTTCGTGGCAGGCGCAGCACTTTCGCAAGGTGCTGCGTCCACTCTCTGCGAGCTGGGGGATGGCAAGATGCAGAAAACGTTGGCGCTGTGCGTGAATTGGGCTTCCGGACTGTGCGCAAACCACCTCGGCTGCGACGCCTGTACGGAGGCGGTCTCGGAACGGTCTCGGAACGGTCTCGGAACGGTCTCGGAACGGGTTCGGAGACGGGCCCATTGGCACGGCCGCGCGAAGGTTTCGCAAGGTTTGAATTGCGTGGCAGGCGCAGCACTTTCGCAAGGTCAAGTATAGATTTCGTGGCAGGCGCAGCACTTTCGCAAGGTCAAGTATCGATTTCGTGGCAGGCGCAGCACTTTCGCAAGGTCAAGTACAAAATTCGTGGCAGGCGCATCACTTTCGCAAGGTCAAGTACAGAATTTGTGGCAGGTGCAGCACTTTCGCAAGGTCAAGTGCAAAATTCGTGGCACGCGCAGCACTTTCGCAAGGTCAAGTACAGATTTTGTGGCAGGCGCAGCACTTTAGCAAGGTCAAGCACAGATTTGGTGGCAGGCGCAGCATTTTTGCAAGGTCAACTTTCGCAGCCGGGGCTCGAAAATCGCAACTTTTAAGTACGAAAGTAGTACGCGAAGTCAACTTTCGCAGCTGGGGCTTGAAAATCGCAACTTTTAAGTACGAAAGTAGTGCGCAAAGTCCACTTTCGCAGCCGGGGCTTGAAAATCGCAACTTTTAAGTACGAAAGTAGTACGCAAAGTCCACTTTCGCAGCTGGGGCTCGAAAATCGCGACTTTTTAGTACGAAAGTAGTACGCGAAGTCCACTTTCGTAGCTGGGGCTCGAAAATCGCAACTTTTAACTACGAAAGTAGTACGTGAAGTCCAGTTTCGCAGCTGGGGCTCGAAAATCGCAACTTTTAAGTACGAAAGTAGTACGCGAAGTCAACTTTCGGGGATTGAACATCGCAACTTTTAAGTGCAGAGAAAGATGGGTAGATAGATAGATCAATAAACAGATATAGAGATAGCTAGAGAAATAGATAGAAAGAGATAGAGAAACAGAGATAGACAGAGATAGATAGATTTGTAGATAGATAGACAAATAACTAGCTAGATAGATAAAGAGATAGAGAGATAAATAAATAGAGAGGTAGATAGATAGATAGGAGATAGAGAGGTAGATAGATAGGTAGATCTATAGATAAATCGCAACTTTTAAGTACGAAAGTAGTACGCGAAGTCAACTTTCGCAGCTGGGGCTTGAAAATCGCAACTTTTAAGTACGAAAGTAGTGCGCAAAGTCCACTTTCGCAGCCGGGGCTTGAAAATCGCAACTTTTAAGTACGAAAGTAGTACGCAAAGTCCACTTTCGCAGCTGGGGCTCGAAAATCGCGACTTTTTAGTACGAAAGTAGTACGCGAAGTCCACTTTCGTAGCTGGGGCTCGAAAATCGCAACTTTTAACTACGAAAGTAGTACGTGAAGTCCAGTTTCGCAGCTGGGGCTCGAAAATCGCAACTTTTAAGTACGAAAGTAGTACGCGAAGTCAACTTTCGGGGATTGAACATCGCAACTTTTAAGTGCAGAGAAAGATGGGTAGATAGATAGATCAATAAACAGATATAGAGATAGCTAGAGAGATAGATAGAAAGAGAGAGAAAGAGACAGAGAAACAGAAAGAGAAAGAGAAAGAGAGAAAGAGAGAAAGAGAGAAAGAGAGAAAAAGAGAGAGAGAGAGAGAGAGAGAGAGAGAGCAAGGGGCCAAGGACAGTTCTCCAAACTATAGTTGTTCACTGCTTTGAAACTTCCGCCCCCCGGCTCTGCCGGACCTTACTTGTAATTTGTAGGGGAGTATTTGGCCGTCAGCTAGTGGCTGACTTGACTTTTCATTCCAGCCCCCAAAACGCCATCTCAACGGCTCATGTCCAATATCTTCAGGGTCGGATGTGGTTGTCATCATGGTCGGCTCCGTTGGCCAAGAATCAGGAGCCTACACGTCATGATACTCGCCCTCCAACAATCATGGAAGCTGGTAGGATTTTGGAATGATGGTTGGAAAGAGGGTGGTTTGATTTGATCACGGACTGCAAAGCCCGTGATTCATGCAGAATATTTGGATTTCGCCGACACGGGTCAGCTTCTTCCAATTCACTGACTTTTGACGATCATCAGTCGCCTGGCTGGAGTGAGGGATCCCAAATAAAGGGGTGCTGAATATGAGTGAAGCGGTTTTCATCCAGTGACGTCACTATCACCCGCCGCCCGGTGATGTCACACGTCGCAAGAGAAGAAAAGCAGCCTTCGAGACAGCAAACACACTACCATGCAACTTCGGCTGTGGAACCGGTTGGCATGTCGTTCTATCAAACGCCTATGCAACATTTTATTTGTCAACACTTAAACTTGTCCAACATGCTGCAAATCAGCACCAAGGATACTCTTGACGATGGGTAAGAGCCAGATGACGCAAGGATGGTACTAACTAGCGGCAGCTCTTGAGCAAACCCCCCGCAATGAGCGTTCGTGGACTCAGAGGGGTCCGCTCTTGTCACTCTTTTCAGGATGGAGGGTTGGCAAATCCTACTTCATACTCCATGTTAGGAAACCGACAACCAAGACCCCTTTTCTACCCATGGGAAGAATTCTGCGGATTCCCTTCGAGCAGCCCGCTCTGCGGGAATGGGCCCTTAGCTGCTGAGAGTGAACCCACCCTGTATACATGAGCGGCGGTCAACATTGTTGGCTTCCCCAACAATTGTCCTACCAAAACTAACTTTAGACTACCAGCAATATTGTCAGCTGCTCCTATTACAACTTACATATCACATATATATATATATATATCCGCCGACCCTCTGCCTCCCGTCCCAGCCTCCTGCAGAGGGGACCGGCGTGGGATGCAACTGGAAGTGATTGGAATCAATGATAGTCCCTGAAGGACACGCCCGAACGCACGAAAAGTGGATTTCCAGGACCGGTCCCGGGACCGGTCCCGGACCGGTCCTGGGACTTCTGTTGTTTCAGATTACTTGTAGTCAGCCAAAACCGGTTCTGGGACCTGATCCGTCTCGGACCTGGGGGAGATTACTTTCACAAGGAGAGGCGCTCACCAGGCTGGAGGCGAAAAGATCCGTCTCAGGACTGAAGCCGGTCCCGGATCGAGTCCTGGTGTGACCGCTGGCACTTCAAACTGCTGTGATGCCACCGCTCCAGACACCTTTCCGGACTGGCACCCGTGTTTCAGGACACTGGACAGGGTCCCAGGTCCCAGCCACTTTCTGCGGGCACCGACGGCCTTGTTTCTAGGACCAGCTCAACGTGACTTGGGCACAAACCGGCCCGTGCGGTTATTGATGGACGAGTTAATCCTTGTGGTAGTAGAGGATCCCTGGATCTATTCTGCAAGAGAGTCCAATACGTCGAGTCAAACCGCGCCAGACTGGGACCAGCCTGGACAGGGTCCCAAGTCCCGGTCCCTGCCGGCGACCGGTCCAGGGCAACTTCGGGAGGGCCAGTTTCAGGGCGACCCCGGGAGAGGCGACTGCTCCCGGGCCAACTCGAAGTGACTTGGGCGCAAGCCGGCCCAAGCGGTAATTAACGGACTAGCTGCCATATTTCTGACTTTTCCGTTAATCCTTGTTTGTGGTCGTAGAGGGTCTTATAAGTGGTCCGCCTGGGTTTGCGGACGTGTTTCAGGACCGGTCCTTGTGACTCTTCCCTTAATGCGCCGAGGGTCGGCGGCAGCAGGCGGGAGCCTGGTTAATATATATATATATATATATGTATGTATATGGTTGTGTGAGGGCACAAGATCAGGCGTCCAATTGACAGGGGCCGGTCCTTCGGCGACCGTCCCGGCCATCGCCTGGGGCCACGCATCGTCGTTGAGGTCCAGCCCGATCTGCCGGAAGATCCTCGGGTTCTGGCACAGCCAAGCCGAGCGAGCTTGGGAGAATCCGCAGGGAAGAAATCACCCCTCGGCTCTAGTCCGACTAGAAGGGGTTGACAAATGACTCTTGAACGTTATACAACATCTGATGGAGAAGAAGAACCCTAGGCCAGTAGAGGGGGGATCTCTAGGCCAGACAAGGTCTCCAAAAACGCTCTGTTTTGGAACCGCCCTCCCTTTCAGTGACATACCTTGGCCAGGAAACTGGCAGATCCCCTCAGCTTGTTTATCATGGCATGGGTTCACTTGCGTGCTGAACAGACTTCGTGCTGAACCAGACAATTACGCCCGCTGTGAAATGTTTCCCCTCAGCGACCCAGCGGCTTGGGATAAAAGGGAGCCTGTTGCCCAGCGAGATCCATCGGATCTCCAATCAATCCTCGCCACCGGCGGTGTAACTCGTGTCAAAACTCGGGCCCGGCCCATCAAGATCCAATGCAACCTGTGAGCCTTTGAGGCTCAAGCACTGTTACTTTGTGAATTGATCCAAAAATCCCTAAGACATTGGTAGAACAAGGTAGAACCATAGGTTGGGAATGGGCGAGTCTACCCCGAGCTACAAAACTGGCGAGGAAAAGGAAGGAAAGCCTGCAGTGTCTACCTTTGGGAGTTCATCAACTCGAGGCTCGGAGCCGGAGCCAAGGGCTTTCTGGCATCCTTTGGGTACTTGATTTTTTGAAACGACCGCAGGTTCTATTGGCTTGTCCCATCTCTTGTCACAGGCACTTCTTGAGCTCGTTCGGCGTGATCTTGTCATTGCCTGGGATCTGGACAGAATCCCAGGAGGAAACGGGGCACAAAGGCGACTGCAATGAACCCTCCTGCTGAAATTCGTTGGGTTGATTCCTCCAACGTGGCCATTCTAGTGGGTCCATGAATGAGAGTACGTGCGCCGTCCCTGGGGTAAGGCGCTTGGGGCCCCAAAGCCTGTCCCTCAAAACAGTCAGGTTTCACTCACTAAGGAATCCTCGAAATCATCCGAGCCTTGAATGGCAACCCGAAATCCAAGAGGTTCCTGCGCACAAAGGACTCTCTCTCTCTCTCTCTCTCTCTTCCAGCCACAGGCGAAACACCTTCGTGAGACTCGCCAAGCCCTTTCCCGTAGGAAACCCACCATCAAGCAAGGCTGGCTTGTGTTTGTGCTTTTGGCAAGGCCGCAAGAAACTCAGGAGAGCCAAATCCCATAAGTCTGGTTCAAGTCTGGCGAACTTCCTGTAGGATTTCCTGGATTCCATGAGTTTGGCCGAAAAGCAGCTTTCTTTGCTGACGAGCGGCGCTCCGTCCGCCTCCGCGTCTCGCCCTGAACGAGGCTTTGTCTCAAGGAAAGCATGGACACGAACACTTCCGAATGAATAAAAGAGCACTTCAAACAATTCCGTCGGGACTTAAGCGCTTTGGCTCACTACACTCTATTTGGGAGAAAAGTCACAACAACCTATACCTTTGAGAAATGCTCAAGTGGAGATTGGTGGAAACGATGTCCCCAAACTGTTGCAAAACACGCCAGCTTCAGGATCTGGATCATACTGGTAGCTGCGGATGGGGACCGAACCCGTTCCACTTAGCAGCGATTTCTTGACAGGATGTCCCGAGGAACTGATGTACTTGCTATAGTTTGGGGATCCAGATCTTGGAGGTGAACGATTGCAAGCATGGCTCCTGGTAGCGCTTTCAAGACCCTTTGACATGAGAAAGGGCTTGTGGATGAATCATCAATGAAAGCCGCAAAGAAGCTCCCTTGTGAATCATAATTCAGCCACCGAAAATCAACCAGGAAATTTCATGGCTGTCGCAAACCGGTCGGTGTCGCGGAAATGTGTCCTGCTCCCATACACTCCCCTTCCACTAAACATGAAACCCAAAAAGGTGGGTCGCAAATATAAGAGGTTTCCTCTAAACATGATCATCACATAATGAAACCCAAAAAACTGGGGTCCAAAAAATCCAACACCCTCTAAACATGACTCCTTGAAGGACGTCATTTGGGGGCCTGCATCTTCTGCGGAAAACTGCAGCTCCGGCCTTCAGCTGAGAGAGTGCCTCCGGCGTGAGGCATCGCGCCTCGTGTGCGTTTCGCACGCATGCACCACAGCGCGGGCGGACAAATAAAACATGGATACTAGAAATCAATGGACGTAGTATTGAAAAGCAAGTCTTGAGACGTGATCATAGGAGAGATGTGTTAGTCTAGTTGTTTAGCCCCTTGTATGAGATGCTTTGAAAGGGGCCCGACTCCCACCAGCGAGTCTACCTAAAGCCATACCTTTCTGTTGGTAAGAAGTCTGTCCCCTAACCATCCTAGGTCCTCCAGTAGAGAGGATAGAATAAGGGTACCCTTTTTGCAGTAGTCGATTTTAGCAGGGGAACCCTCCCCCAAAAATTGGGTAAAAGGGCACTACTGGGGGACCTAGCATCGCTTCCCTCTCGAATCAAACGTGTCACCACCAAAAAGCGTCCTCGGACGGGAAGCTCCCAGAACTCCTACCCCTCCCCGCGTTCGTGGGCACCCCCTTCGTCCGGGCGGCGATCTCGGAGATCGTCAAGGTGGGGTCCTGGCCCCGAGGTTTGCATTTGGGTGACACAGCCAAAGCCCCCCCCCAAAAAAAAAACAAAAGAAGCTCGGGCGATATCCCCAACAGCATACGGTGCTCTTTTTCAGCCCTCGCGGAACCTCGTGGAACCCTGGCGGAACCCTGGTGGAGCCCTCGTGGAACCCTGGTGGAACCCTGGTGGAGCCTTCGTGGAACCTTACCTCAGGGCCACCCCGGACCACCCCGGAGCCTATCTGGGCTGAGACCTTAAAGCTTTCAGCTGTTGGGGAAAAACAGAACACGCCCCTCCCCCCACCCGGCCCCGCAAAAAACGAAAGAACAACCTAGGCAGAGGTAGATTTGAGTGATCGGTTCCGTTTTTGACGCATGAGCTTCTTTCGGATGCTACACAACTGGTTGTCATCCGATGCAAGCGATCAGAACCCGCTTATCAGACCCGGTTTGGGGTCCCATAAGCCTTTTCAGGCCACTCGACGATTTGCCGACCTCAGGCTCCCATACCCCTGAACCTGAACGGTAAGTGTGATTTCTTTTGAACAAACATGCATGTGTTGGATTCTTCTAAATCGACCCCAAGTTGGAGGTGGTTTAAACAATCGTCCTCGAACAAGTTAGTTGCTGTTTATTTGCAGAAGCTGACTTGTTTCAGGTTTATCGTGCCTCGAAAAGGAACAAGACAACACACCACGGCACTCAGCTGGTATTGATTCGGAGTCTTCTTGGCTAAGAAGGTTAAGAATTTGTCCGCGTAACGCTTGCTGTCACCGACCGGAGTACATGGAGAGTACTGCTGAATCCCAAGCTGCCAAGACCACAACTGATCAGTCAAAAAGTCTCCAGACTTCGGTACCCGTCCTCAACAGAGATTGCGTGCATGGCGCTCCGCGCCGCCGAAAGGCCGATGACACTGGGCAGAGAGGCAGCGGATGTGCCCCAGCGCTTGCGCCAACGTAAAATGGAAGAACATGGCCCCTCAAAGCGGTTTCCACCAGCCCGAGATCCGAAAAGCTTTCCTTCGACCAGAGATCTCAAAAAGAAATGCGGGCACTGTCTGCTCAAAGGAAGCCAGGCGACGTTCCTTGTAAAAGCACTTCCGCTGGCATCGAGCACTAGCACTCACCAACCAAATAAGCAGATCTTGCAGCGCAGCGTCATTAGCCCGATCAAACATCCAACATGGCCCAATTCAACAGAACAGAACGTTACAAATCATGATACGACACGGCAGGACAAGTGTAACGCATCATGCGGATACACACACACAGAGAGAGGACGTAAATGGGAGCGAGACAAAAATCATTCAACATCAGCTGACGAACTAGTTGACCCACATGCCCACCAACCGCCCTGCCGAACCACTACTCTGCCCAACCAACAACCAACATACTGGTTCAGCAAGGAGAGAAACGGCGAAGCTAAACAGCCAGCAACAAGCAAGACAGCGCGCAACAAAGCCAAAAGCAAGATAGCTACTCTATTGATGATTCCCCGAAGCAAAACCTTCTCGGCACACGCGGTCATGGGTCTATCATTGAATGGGCACCCTCTTGGATGGTCTCATTCGGGTCTCCCAAAAGGAGAGCCCTCTTTTGGGATAGTTTTGAAGGAAAAACCACAAGGAAAGCAATCACCATGGCTCCAACTCGCTTTGGAAAAACCAAAAGCAAAGCCGAAGGGAAGCCTCCCAAACGAGTTCAATGTCGTGTATTCCCTCCAGGTGTACCCCTCCCTTCACAACCCTTCACAGTTGGGGCTTCGAAGGACAGCGAGGGTTGATACCTTCACTGGTGAGCCATGTCAATTTGGCTATACAGCAGCCATATGAGGCAATTTATGAACATGGATTCTATGAATTGTTTGAAACCCAGCATCAGTGGAGCCCTGGAGTCTCAGATGTCTTTGTTGTTGTGGTTGTTGTTGTTTTTGTTCCGCATGTGAAAGGCTGCCTCTTGCCTCGCATCCCTTTGGCCAAGGTCGACCAACTTGGTGGCACCTCACCGCATGCACAAACAAACACTGGCAGTGGCACAGGGCAACACCCATACGCAAATGTTGACATTCACGAGTTGATGGTTTTACACATGTTTGCATCCAAGCATGTTCACATCCACACGTCCACTACCACATGTGTATATATATATATATATATTTATCTGAATCATACACCCTGCAAAAGAGCTGCAAATGAGTCCTTCAGGCTATGAGCATTCAGCAGAAGCCCCGCTCGTTTGGGAAGCTTCAAACGATTTCCTCCACCAAAAAGGGTCTGTGTGTAACTCAGTCCGCACTGACAATGCATCCAGCCACGTGTGGAGTTTCTCTCGGGAGATACGCGTGTTCAGCACCCAGGTCACCAAGCGTCGAATCAGCACAGAAAAGTCACTCGGGCCAAGCTGCTCCGTCAGCTCAGGCAGTAGTACGCCATGCTCGTCTGCCGCCTTGACCTCGGAAACATGGCTTGCAGCCAGCATGCCCTGGTCTGGGTTATGCATGCGGTTTGGGCGGGACCAACAGCCGTTGGAAAAAGACGGCACCGCTGAATTGCCGACAGTCTTCCCCCTCTCCGCTTGGTGCTTTGAGGCCAGTCAAGGAAGCTGCCCAGTGAGCCGAGCAGCAGAACGTGGGGACCATCTCTTTTTGGAGTTGACAAGATTCGTGAGAAAGCCAACACACAGGGAAAAAGGGTGCCACTGAACAACTGGGGCTTTGAAACTGAATTGAAACTTTCACCCAAATCTGTCCATGGCAAAACATTCACCATGATTGTAATAGCTGTGTCTCGGAACAGCCTCAAACACTGCCGAACATGGTTGACCATGTAAGGTAAGTCTTGGCAATGGTTGCAACTATGTAATGAAATACGACACTGAGAAAATGCATAGTTGTCAAGCATGCTCAGCTCAAACTGTGATGTTGGCAAAGACCGGAATCTGGCCACCAAAGGTTACAATAGTTCACAACTCATAAGTCAGCACAACACCGCGCAGTCTGGCATTAAACACGCGTACTGTCAACACAAATGTACTTGAAAGTTCCCTGAAAAAGCATGGAGGACACGGTTTGCACGGGTCCAACGTCCGCAAAGTGCAACCTGTGCCTGGTTTCGGGATGCCCTCTTCAAACGGCGCCCTTCACCCCTCTTCGACATGCCACCGCGTGCACAAGGAAACAGAGGGCCCGGAAGGATACTTCAGCGGCCGCTTTCTTTTTGCCACCTTAAAGGCCCATGATTGAACACGCCTTAAAGGCCCACCTTGACGCGCTTAAGGCCCTTAGAGGGCATGTGTATCTTTCTGCCTTTCGAGGGATGGCATCCGAAGCCAAAGGAACCCAACGGAATCCAACCTCTTGGAAGGAAGCCAACAGAAAACCATCTCCCCCGCCCCCCCCAACCCCCCAAACAAAAACTCACACACACACCTGCCCATATATATATATATATATACACACATATATACGTATATGTATATATATATATATATATGTACACATGTGTATATATATGTACATGTATATATATATATATAAAGAAGTGCCCCCACTGGACCTTTCATCGAAGCCTACGACATTTGGGCGCGGGGCCACCGCTCGGGCGGCCGCCTCAGCAGCCGCGACTTGGCCTGGAGCTTGGTTAAGGCGCCGTGCGTTCGATCCCATGCTTCTCAATTGATTATTCAATGATGAAAGAAAAATAAGGTATTAGTGGTCATTGCTTCAATGATTATTATTGGTATTTAATGAATCAGGAGATATGATTCAGTAGACCAACTGGTCGTGACCCATCGGCAAATGGTGGAACCGTCCACCCTTTTTCTTGTAGCCCAAGGAGCGGAGCGCTCATCCTGAGGCAATTTGCCAAGATGCTTTTGGTTTCTCTTAAAAGTTAAACCTGAACCCGACAGCTCCGCACCCCTCTCAACGGAGCTTGGGCCCACGACAAACTGAAACACCAAAACTTTCACCTTTTGTGGCACATTGGAAGCACAGCCTTGGATCACCGAGCCAGTCCAACCAACTTCTGTTTGACTCACCTGTCAGTGTGGAGGGTTCCAGTTTCGACAGGGAGACGAGTGGGTGTTTCTTAATGAAGGGGAGTAGCGCCTCCCAACCAGAGGAGCCACAACTCTTTGGAAATGGGGAGAGTAGTTGCAGGGAGGGGTCCCAATTTTTGTTGACGCCCTCAGATGGAAGAACTTGCCCCCACGGCAAGTCGGCCAGTTGCGCAGTTGTGGTACGGAGGGCCGGCACCAGTGAGCTGAGCTGCGAGGAAGGTCGCCGAATGCAGGCCACCAGGTTTCGAAAAAGGTCAGAAAGTCATGAGACCTCTTGGCAGGTGCTCACAATTGCGTAGATTCAAGGGATGGCCTTGGGGTAAGACTGTGTTTTACGTTCGGACCAGCCTTGTTTCGCCTTCATCCAAGGCACATCCGTCAATTGCTGCGCTCACATCCTTCCCACTGGGATTTCCAGTGAGCGTCAGAAGCATTCGCCTCATTCTCCTCTAGCTCCACGAGAACTGGAATCTTCAGCATTTCTATCTCGGCTTCCTCTGATTCTGCATCTGGGAGAACACGACGTATAAATGAAAGCTCTCCACAGACAGAATCTATCGGCAACACTACGATGCTTGAAAAAGGTCTAAAAACACCTCATCTTAGCCTGCGTGAGTGAAGAACGGCACTGGTAAAACCAGCACGAACATCATGTAGCAGTCCAAACGGGCGCCTGCAGACGCGCCCGTCCAGGTATTATACACATACTATCACACAAGTATATATATATATATATCTATACATGCACATATATATATATATATATGGTCCCGTGTTCCGTGTTGCTACCCCCCCCCCCCCAGATGGTATGGGTCCAGGAAAACCAACCCTAGATACACCCTAAACCAAATCCTAAACCGTAGACCTCTAAACCTAAACCAACCCTAAATCAACATAAACCAACCCTAAACTAACCCCAAATACACCCTAAACCAATCCCTAAACAATAAACCCTAAACCTAAACCAATCCTAAACCAACCCTAAACTAACCCAAACCCTAAACCAAACCCTAGACCGTACACGACTGAACCTAAACCAACCCTAAACCAACCCTAAATCAACATAAGCCAACCCTAAACCAACCCTAAACCAACCCTAAACTAACACTAAATACACCCTAAATATACCCTAAACCAATTCTGAACCAACCCTAAACCACCACAACCCAACCACAGGACCACAACCACAGGGGGGGGTACTTGTCTGACCCATGACCATGGGGGGGGGGGGGACTGGCAACGCTGTACCATATGTATATGTATATACTTGTACATATATTGGTGACATTTATGCACATGAATTCCCCTGCACATGCCCCCGGCACCCGTCGACTCCCGTCCCCCCGTTCTCCATCCCTTTCGCACCGCGCCTCCGCCCGCCTGCACCTCCGCGATGCCTGCGGCATCCCCGGCCGCGGCGATGATGCTGGTGACCTGAGAACGCGCTCGCCGGTGTTCAACGCGTGTGGCAACCCAAGAGCGCCTGTCGCAAGATTTGTTCTTGGTAACTGACATCCTCAAAATGACTGGAAAATGGTCGAAAGGGCAGCCGCCGAGACCCAAAGGCATGTTTTTGAGAGCCCCTCAAGATGTGCACTTTCAGGGGCCCAGTTGAAAATAGATTAGTGAACCTTAGAATGTGAAATGATATCAAAGGTCCCCGGCGGGCGGTGGGGAATTCGCCCAAACCATAATCCTAACCGCTAAGGGAAGACTGGCTATAGAATCATAATTTGTCAGTTCCGGTGGGAAATGGTAGTAGAACAGGCATCCTAGGGGTATCTCTCGACTCAAGTCCAGTCTTAAGGAGAGTGAGGCTCTTGGAGTCATCAGAACTTACCGGGTGTGTGCTTTGAAAGGAAACAGCCCCTGCCAACAACTAACTAACAGTGGTCGACAACCGAGAATTGTAGTCTCCTTTCGGAATACGAATATGTACCGCTTGCTTGACCCTCAAAACACGAGCCTCCCGAGGTGTAGGGAAGGTAGGCCCCTACCGATCATTTGAGCTGATTGCCTGTATCAGAGCAGTGTGTAACTCGCTCATTCAAAGAACGCGGGCATAAGAGGTTACTCTCCCTCCCACTCACTGATCTTCCAGGAACCCTGTGAGAGCTCGGAAAGACTTTGAGAGTCGTAGCCAAGAAACACGACCAATTGGGAAGCGCAAATCAAGACATTTGTAGAGTACATCCCCACCCCCCCTGTTCGGAGAAAACTGTGCTCCAAACCGCTGGCAAAAGCGAGCACGTCAGGTTGCCCCGCGGCCAAGCAATTCTCCAAACCTGAACAAAGCTGGTTCAAGCCTCACACGCCTCGGAGGCATTCAATGGCGAATGTCTTCTGTGGGTAAAAAAAAAAAACTGAAAGGAGTGCTATGTATCAGTCCCACCCCACAAGACCAGTCGCATCTGGCTCCTCCTCCGCCTCGGCCATTGGGCCAAAACCGGCTAAATCAAAACGCCGACCAAACGCACCGCACCGCTCCGCGAGTTCCAAACAAAACGCCCCCTGCTTTGGAGCATCGCTTTGTCGAGTTGGCCCTGGGAACCTCTGTGCTTGCCTCTGACTATCCCTGGGAGCCTGAAGTGCGAATCGGCGCTTTGCAAGCGGCAAACACATGACCGGAGATGCAAAAAACGGTAAGCAAGAAAAAAACAAAAACCAAAAAAGCACGGCGCGCAGGAAATGTCCAGCTGCCAGTTGCGTGAGGGGAAAAAAAAAGCATCATGTCCAATTATACCCATCATGAAACCGATTGGAATGAACATTAACGTCTTCTGTAAATGGAAACAAGTGAGACACGGCTCAAAAATGACTCGGTTGCTCTCAGCCTCATGGCATGACCTCTCCGTCTTGCGTAGCAAGCTGGCGGCAAAGCAGTTCACAGCCCAAAAGACGTCGGGCAAGTCGCAGCAAACTAACTGGGGAGACATGTATACATGTCATGATTTTTGCCTGTCCCGTTCCAGGCAACAGGCGGATTGGAGATGTTTGACGCTCATTTCCGTGTTGGAAACCGGGAAGAAGCGAGGCCTTGCATTGATTCATCGACTTCCCAAAATGGACTGCCAAACAAAGCCTATTCACTGGGACTAGTCACAAAATAGAGGGACATCAAATCCGGTGGCTTTCCTTGTGAGTTCCTGTTGGACAAATCCCAGAACTAGACACAGCCACTTCCCGAACGCATGGTACAGCCATATTGCTGCCCAGTTCTCATAAAAATTTCGGGTCGGAACCTTGCTTCTTGGCCCTCCTGCGACGCTTTGCAGCGCTCATGCCGCAACGCGTGTGCCCCAATTTTCCGCGCTGCCGCGCGCAGCTCCAGTCAAACCTGGGATCCGATCAGCTGAGCGGAATCCGGGAACCAGCTTGGGGGAACGAACAAAGGGAACCCGAGGAGCTGAGGACACGACAAAGGCAACTCCAATCGCCTCACTCTGAGTTTCAAATATCCTGTCAAGGTAGCGGGACAGCATCCAACGCTGGTGATGAACCCCATTCCCAGTGGACTTTTGTCACCTCCTGCGTCATTCCTTTGGGAGCAAACAGTGAGCATTTATTGCTGCCCGCTCTACTTCTGCTTGGCATGCTGCCATCAATGATCACCCCCTCCTGCCACGGCACCGAATCGTCCCTTTCTTCTAAAGTCAGCTTTTCGGATTCATGTGAACTCAGCTCTTCGTCCAGGGAACCTATTTGGACCTTGGATCTTGGAACTCATCCGGTTCTCACTTGCTCAGACTGGGCGTGATTCTGCCAGACCTGGGGTTTGAACAAGAAGGGATTGAAGGGTCGATTCTCCTTGGGCAAGGGATGTCTACCCTTCCCCCATCAAGCTTAGCGGGATGTGCTCTACAACCCCTGCTTGGCAATCAGAGGAACCCTCCTACGTTGCATCCAAAGAATAATCTGCCCAATGGAGCGGGCCCCCACACCTGGCCAACCCGCCACGCATCACCCACCAACCACAATCCGAAACAGACCGCAGACCACGCACCAAAGCAGGCAGGCAGGCAGGCAGGCAGGCAGGCAGGCAGGCAGGCAGGCAGGCAGGCAGGCAGGCAGGCAGGCAGGCAGGCAGGCAGGCAGGCAGGCAGGGAGGGAGGGAGGGAGGGAGGGAGGGAGGGAGGCACGCAAGCAGGCGATCAAGCAACCGCTTCAGCCAACAAGCAGGCATGCTAGCAAGTGGCCAGAAAAGAATTGAGCAAGCAAGCAAGCAAGCCCGCAAGCCAGCCAGCCAGCCAGCAAGCCAGCAAGCCAGCCAGCCAGCCAGCAAGCAAGCCAGCAAGCAAGCCAGCAAGAAAGCAAGCCAGCCAGCCAGCAAGCAAGCAAGCCAGCAAGCAAGCCAGCCAGCCAGCCAGCCAGCAAGCCAGCAAGCCAGCAAGCCAGCAAGCCAGCCAGCCAGCAAGCCAGCAAGCAAGCCAGCAAGCCAGCAAGCCAGCAAGCAAGCAAGCTTTTGAAAACAGGGAAGCGAAAAGCGGAAAACGGCAGGAAACATGTGAGGGCAAACCTTTGAGCATCCACGCCGAAAGGATCTTCAGAACCTCCTCGAGAGTGCTGATCTCCTGATGCAATCCAGCAGAGATCGAGCACCGGGGCAACAAAGGTCGAACCCAGCAGGTTCAATGCTCAATCCACGACACGTGCCTGAATGCAAAACATGTGTTTCCCTCAAATAAATAGAACTGCGCAAAATGCTGGATAGGCTCTTGCCATGCGCATGGCATCAACATAAATCAACTATAAGCCACACGCTCAGCTGCTGTGAGCCTTTGTGGGAAAACGCCGATTGCCACTACACGGTGCAACCACGGTCCTGTTTGTTGCGTGGATTGGCCACCGGTTTGTCCCATCCCCATTTTGCATACCTTCATGGTCCATGGGATGCAGGCGCACGCACCTTCTTTGGGCGAGGCAAAACACGCCTCCGAGCTCTGTACTTCCGCAGGGCCAGAACACCTAAGGAGTGGACCCCAATCAACGTCTCAAAACCGTTAGAATCTGGGCCTTCGACTGGCGAAACGAGCTCCAGCAAATACATGTTAGCTACTTGCACAGGAATGGTTCAGCCAGCATCCTTTAGGTTCCCTGCACATTTGAAGAAACCACAATGCTTCACAATCTGGAGTCCGAAATTTAAAGGGGCTCCCCTCCGGCAAAGGGCTCGCAATGCCCCAACATTCAATGTCCAAACAAATCTGCCCAAGACCACTTGCCTTGCCACTCGTCTCTGTTTTGTTTGATCCTGTCTCCCTTCAACCACCCAAGTTCTTGGAATCTTCCCTCCAATCACCCAGAGACTCAGATCCTTTGGCCCGCCTTACCTCCCTCGCTCGCCCTGCGGCCCCTGCGGCCCCTGCGGCCCCTGCGGCCCCTGCCGCCCCTGCCGCCCCTGCCGCCCCTGCGGCCCTCCTCCCGGCGCTTCTGCTGCTTCTCCTCAAAGCTGGGCGCAGGCTTCAGGCAGCGCCTCGGATCGCCCGGGTCGCGGCGGCAGCTCAGATGTCTGATGAACCGCGGGCGTTAAAGGCCCATGCCTGAAGGCCCAGCAATCTGCTCGAGTGCCAAACAACTCGGAGATGTCGGAAGATGGACTGCAAAACCAACCCGAAGCACCACACGACTTTGGTTAGTGAGGTGCATGGGTCCGGGTTGCTTGCGCGCACAGAAGACGAGCTTGAATCCAAAGTGCGCCCGGGACCCTTCGCCACGAAGTCGGCGAGAAACTTGACGCGGCATGGTAGAACTCTTCCTTATATTGTCATGTCTGAGGGGATAATCGGACAGCCAACAAGAAACGGGCTACATGACGGAGAAGCTTATCTGGAAGATCGGTTGAATCGCTATGTCACAGTCGTTGAGTGGATGTCGATCTGTCCCATTGACTTGCGTGATTGCTGACCTCACTGGCCAAGTTCGACTCTTTTGCTCTGTGGCCTCCAAATCCCTTCGAAATGCATCAATCGTTTGAGATCCCCTTTCAAGTGGTCTTCCAAAGGGTTTCCCCATCCAACAAGGATTTGTTGGAGTAAGCCTTTCCAACAACGAAGGGGAGGGCAAGTCACCAACGCTCGCGAATTCTGTGACGATGGACAAAGCCGGAGCTTTTCGCTGCGTGACATTGATTGACCGTGGATAAAGGTGCCCGTATGATCCCGTGTCACGGGAACTTGTTTCGCATCGTTCTCAAATGGAAAATCAGGAGCTACATTTAACAACATGATCCGCAGCGACAAAATACACTTGCTTGATTTCAGTACCTCATTGATGGGAAGAATGCCATTTGGCGGCACAGGCCCAGAAGGCAAAGCCGCGGGTATCTCCGAGCGGCTGCTTCAGCTTGGCCAAGTAGTCGTCCAGCTTCAGCAGCCTCGGAATGCCGAATGCCCCAAAAGGGAAGGAACCCGTTGATGGCCCATCTTCGTACGCCCTTTATATCTTTATATGGTGGACACTTAGGGTCTATTTTGCAACCTCCTTTGCGCTAGGGCCTTACCTCGAATCGGATTGTGGCATAGTACTACACCGAAGTCCTCAAGATCATGGGAGAACAGTGGTTGTAATCATTTAGCCCTTTCGTCAGGTGAGTTTACGGAAGTCCGAGTTCAGCTTTCAAAACCGATTTCGTTGCTTCGGGAAACGGCTGTCAGGGCTCAAATTCCATGGCACACTCGAGAGTCTCTCTACAACATAACAAACTCGACAATACCAAGCCAGACCGCGATCAACAAAGACAAAGCAAAGCTAAAAACACCAAGCCAACCAAAAAAAAGACACACCATGCCAAACGAACCCAAAACCATACCAACCTAACACCAAACCAAAACCATATCAAAGCCGAATGCCAAAGCGAACAAAACCCAACAAAATAAACAGAAACAAGGCAAACATCCAACATCCATCTGAGGCGGTTGCTGCTGTTTGGTGTCCGCTAGCTCGCCCTGACAGATGGAGTGCGGAGTCGCGGGCTAGGAAGGAGACGAAAACTGCGAGGGCCCCTCCCCATCTGGCGAGACTGATCCCCAAATATGCCAAGCCACGGAATCAACCAACTTGCTTCTTGGGGTGGAGAAGCCAGCCGGGGAATCCCCTGTTTGGAGAAACAGCTGGTTGGCCGGTCACAGGAGACAAATCCAGCAAGATGCCAAGGAAAGCCCTGAGCAACACCCCCAACAAGGAAGCTCCAAAGAAGGAACCTGCCAAGGAAACATCCTGTCAACGGAAACCCAATTGCAGTGGGGTGTTGTACGAGGGAGTCCTTCCCTAAAAATCTCGAGCAACTTGGATTCCGTCCCCAGGTTCCCTCCTCCCTTTTCTCCTGGCAGATTAGCTTGCGATACCCAATTGGAACCTGCAGCAGGCCTAGGTGCCTGCCACATGTCTTTTTGCTTGGAATAGGCAGACAAATCTGTTCTGACCGATTTCCAAAATGGCTGAGGAACCCAAGAGCAAACCGATCATACACAAAGGAAACATGGACGGCATCACGAGTTGCTTTAGACACGAACGTAGAAACAGTGTGCCGTTCGTTGGTCTGATCAGAGAGAAAATGCCCCCTTAGCATGATACTGTACCAGGTTATTGCCATATACCCCTATCATCTACCATGGGTCTTTGCGCCCTGGAGCATGGAGTCCAATTTGTTGCGTGTTTGCGTGTGTGCTTGTGTTGCTGTTTTGTGTCTTTGTGTCTTTGTGTTTAGGTGTTTGAGATTTTGTGATTGCTTGCTTGCTTGCTTGCTTGCTTGCTTGCTTGCTTGCTTGCTTGCTTGCTTGCTTGCTTGCTTGCTTGCTTGCTTGCTTGCTTGCTTGCTTGCTTGCTTGCTTGCTTGCTTGCTTGCTTGCTTGCTTGCTTGCTTGCTTGCTTGCTTGCTTGCTTGCTTGCTTGCTTGCTTGCTTGCTTGCTTGCTTGCTTGCTTGCTTGCTTGCTTGCTTGCTTGCTTGCTTGCTTGCTTGCTTGCTTGCTTGCTTGCTTGCTTGCTTGCTTGCTTGCTTGCTTGCTTGCTTGCTTGCTTGCTTGCTTGCTTGCTTGCTTGCTTGCTTGCTTGCTTGCTTGCTTGCTTGCTTGCTTGCTTGCTTGCTTGCTTGCTTGCTTGCTTGCTTGCTTGCTTGCTTGCTTGCTTGCTTGCTTGCTTGCTTGCTTGCTTGCTTGCTTGCTTGCTTGCTTGCTTGCTTGCTTGCTTGCTTGCTTTGCTTGCTTGCTTGCTTGCTTGCTTGCTTGCTTGCTTGCTTGCTTGCTTGCTTGCTTGCTTGCTTGCTTGCTTGCTTGCTTGCTTGCTTGCTTGCTTGCTTGCTTGCTTGCTTGCTTGCTTGCTTGCTTGCTTGCTTGCTTGCTTGCTTGCTTGCTTGCTTGCTTGCTTGCTTGCTTGCTTGCTTGCTTGCTTGCTTGCTTGCTTGCTTGCTTGCTCTTGCTTGCTCCTCTCTCTTGCTTGCTCACTCTTGTTTGCTCTCTCTTGCTTGCTTGCTTGCTTGCTTGCTTGCTTGCTTGCTTGCTTGCTTGCTTGCTTGCTTGCTTGCTTGCTTGCTTGCTTGCTTGCTTGCTTGCTTGCTTGCTTGCTTGCTTGCTTGCTTGCTTGCTTGCTTGCTTGCTTTGCTTGTTTGCTTGTTTGCTTGTTTGCTTGTTTGCTTGTTTGCTTGTTTGCTTGTTTGCTTGTTTGCTTGTTTGCTTGCTTGTTTGTTTGCTTGTTTGCTTGCTTGTGGTTGTTGTTGTCTTTTTTGCGTGTTGTTCTTCTTCAGTGTTGATGGGTGCCCTAAGTGTGCATGCGTGCCTGCCTTCTCTTGAGGTACAACGCGAGGATACCCTTCATGTGTAGGACCCCCCCCCGGTTCAACAGTTCCACTCTCAAATGCACAGGAACGGCCTTTCCCATTTCTGCGAGTGGTTCAAATCCAATGTTGCCCAATGCACAATGGCCAACCGTTTGCGATAATCCCCTGCTTTTGGAAACAACCATGTGGATTCACGGACAAGCATACTTCTCAATGGTTCACTGCTTGTCTGATACAAGAGGTTTATCAGGGAGTGTCCGGCAAATAGACCTTGCCTGCATCATCTTGACCTCCCGCTGGGTCTGGGCTGCCTTCTCCTGCTACCCGCGGGAAATGGCAGCCCAACATGCCCCAGCTGCAGATTCTCTGCAGATCGTGTTGGCTTTTTTCTTGAAGGGGTCTATGCTCCGGTTGACTCGACCTATGCAAATGCAGGTTGCAGAGGGCACGGATGCGTTTTCCAAGTTGTGTCCAGGGGGAGCTCAACCCAATCGTGACTTTGCAGGCTTGACTCTGCCGCATCTCTCAAACAATGGTTGCACTTGAGCAATGGACATATGTGCGCAGGTGTAACCTTGTCAAGAGGATGGTGACCCCTCTTATGTCAGCATCTACAGGGAGCTAACAAAGAAAACCACTCACACAATGTGTGGCGCGATTTAACAAGTGTTTGCTCAGGCCGCACCTTCGCCCGAAACAAAATCTGAGAAGTCAAAGAGTGGTTCCTTTCAGGAGCGGTCCCCGCATGAACCACTCCCCCAGCTGGCAGGTTTTCGTGTTGAGCCCCCTCAAGTAACGAAGGGAGCCCCTCTGTGAGTGGGGGAAACCTGTTTCAGGGGCATCTCTTCACTTTCAGCTGAAAGGAGGGTCTAGACAGGGGTCCTTGAATGTCCCTGTCAAAATCACCCAAAAGAAGCTTGAAAAAAGTGGGCCCAGCTGATTTGTGTACCCCCCAAAGTCTACACTCTTTCCAGAATGGAAGTGGACAGGGAGGTTTTGAACACCCCCCCCCCAAAAAAAAAGAAGAAGAAGAAAACTTGAGAAGGCCCCGATGATTTCACCCATGGAGAGCTGCCTCTCGACGGCCTCTCAAGGGACCCCCCGGCCTTCCGGCGGGCCAGCTGCCTGCTCTTCACAGCCTTGTCCTACGGCGGAGTTGGCTCCGAGGTGGCGGGTCGTCGGGAGACTGCACCCTGAATGAGCAGATGTGTCTGGCGCATGTGATATGTGTATAGTGTCTGTGTATAATAATGTATTCTATATATATATATATACACGCAAATGCCGGAATGAACATAAAATGAAATGACATGAACAAAAAACAGTAAATGAAATTGAAACGACATGGCATGGCATGAAATGAATGAATGAATTAATAATGTATATATGTATAGATAGACACGTATATATTAATATATATGTCATGCCCCCTACCACAGCTGGCCTCTCTCCACGACGTGGTCTCCATGACGTGGTCTACTCTTGCTTCTTGCCACTTTACGCTAGGAGGCAACATGTCCCGACCACCTCTGCCCAACTTTGGAAGTAGCCATCATTGCAGCTTCAACAATTGTCATATCCAATTTGCAGCAGTTTGCTTGCAATCAGAGCTGACAGCTCAAAACTGCCTCGCTGTAATAGGCCAAGTAGACGCTTGTGCAAGCTGATTTTCAGGAAATCACACCAAGCGCGACTTCCGTGCAACCCATTCACAGTCGAACCACGACTTTTGAGGCTCTCTCTGCTGTTCCCTTGCCAGAAACATAGGCCAAAAAGGCTGCTGTACGTCATGTTTCAACACGGGTAATTATGAAGCTTGATTGGGACTCTTTGGTGGACATCTTCTGCAGGGGGGATTTATGCCCAACCCCGTGGAACATCACAGCTCCACCACCCTTTTGTGAACATCTGCAAGATGAGTCTGCGATGGGATGTCACCGTCATCCGTGTGGCTATGAAAGATACTCTGAAAGCACAAGGGATAGAAAAGGCCGCCCGAAGGAGTTGGGTTGGAACCAATCTATTTCCAGACCCGTGTCTCACATCCTGGGTGCAACGAGGGAAACGAAGCAAAAGCGCCACGCACTAAAAGAATCAAACACGACTATCTGAATCTGATGAAATAACAACCCACTTAAGCCCCTCACAACAAGCTGGACAAGCACAACGCTCACGTTTCGCCTTGGCGTTGTCTTCAAGGAACTTCTGATACTGTCCCTCATCTGCAGTTTCCTGAGCGTGGATCTCTCAGCACCAATTGCAGCTCGCTTGGAACAAGCAACGCAATATCTGAAACCAAACCAATTCTGATGCTTTGTTGGCAGGGTCATCGGGCTGACTTATGGCTGGCAACAAACGTTGACCTAGGACCAACGTTGACCTTGGCAACAAAGGGAAGTATGCTCACATAGCAATGTGTTGCAGTGTCCTGTTTCATAGTCTGGTATTTGTTTGGCTGCTGTCAAGCAGGCGCTGTGTGGGTGGGAGTGCTTTCATATGCTTGTCAAAATCTCTTTCGTATATCAGTTACTTGCCCTTCTTGGTACAGCAAACCGACTGCAACAGCTTCTGCTACCCTGCCAACCGGTGCTAGAAACGCATAGAAGGGCACTTTAGGCGCTCCCTCGAGAAAGCAAGGAGCAAAACTGAAAACGACTTGACCTGGCAAACCAGCAAACTGAGCAGGGCAAGCTCAATCCATTGTAATTGGCAGTGAGTTCCACAGAAACCGGTTGAACCACTCCGAGCCTAGAGAAACAAATGCTGAGCAATGCAACGCCAAAGCCTCGGCGTGAGTACGGTTGACTTGAGCTTGCAAAGTAAAATGAGGAAGAAGGTTCTTTCAGTATTGTCCCTCAGTCTATCGATTGCTTGGCAGCGGTCTGCTTAATTGGTCAAGTCTCAACTTGAGAGAGCTTCTTTCGGGGATATTTGGCAGTGCCCAAAACCCTCTCGACTGAGTTTGGGCCGCTTTCTCCAAGCGGTGGCTGCTCCAGACACCTGTTTGGGGAATGAGTCAAAAACTAGGAACCCTGATTGGATCGTGTAAGCCACTGTAGGGCAGGCTCGTGACATGTGTGAAGCAACTTGACCCTCACACCGTAAGGGGCATTTAAAGCCATGGTTTGAACCCTCCGTATCCTTCCCTTTTGAGAGGGTCTTCCTTTTCTCTTCAAAGGGGTCTTGTCAAGCCCTGTGCCCATGCCCAACCCATAACTGCTTTATCACCGTACTGTTGACGCAAATCCTTGACTCAACCAAACACCTGCTTGTGGCAACCGAACTACAAACCGTTGTCAAGCCCCACCCCCCCCGACCCCCCAAAAAAAAACAAGTCAACAAACCAACCACGTATTCCGTTCTGCGGCCCTTGCCGGCCCATCCACCCCTTCCAAACTCCGAGGCGCCGCATCCTCCGCGGTGGCCTTCTGCGCTGCGAAGGAGCTCTCCGCCAGCTCCAAGAGGTCCAGCAGCCCGGAGCTTTCGGAGCGCGGGGCCTCGAATTTGGGCCGCGGGTCTGGAGGTTTGTCATGCCCAAGAAAACCAGGCGTGTACAAAGCCAAAATCGGAGTGCACATGGCCATGGGTCACAAGCCAAATCGGTTATTCTCCAGTGAACGTCCCAACCCCCACTAAAAAAAAACATTGGTTCTAAAATGGGTGGTGAATTCACCTATCCCGAAATGGGAGCATTGGTTTTGACCCATGGCCAGTTCTGCTTCCCAAGCTCGGTGGAGCCGCAGCCCGGTGGTTTGGAGCTGGGTGGTTTCTTAGATACCCTCTACCAGAACCAGGGGCACTGCCAATTTAGGGAAACGGCCCTTGCTTTTTTTTGTGCTGAAAAGGGAAACGAATGGGCAAGCTGGCATAGCCTATCGTTCTGGCCCAAAATGTTCGGTTTCCATGTTGCTTCCCGTCTCAAAGAAACACAGAGGAGATTCGCCAGGAGATTAAGTGTTACTCCCTATGGGCTGCTCCAAAGACCCGAGCTTCACAAGAGTAGCAAACTCGGTCAGAAAACAACAAGGGCCCAAGCGGAACTGTTTCCGTAGGAGCAACTCTGAAAGGGCAAGGATGCTTCTGGACGAGAGGGGAGTCGCGGTTGGACCATGAACAGTCTGGAACAGCCATCCTGTCTCTGCGCAGCCGCAACACGAGGGTGGAACATCACCATGGCACTCGAGTGCAACTGGGCTTGGGCACAAAACTACGACACAAGCGCACGATGTGACCAATTCCTACACAACGTTCGGCCGGAGAAACAAGTTCCAAAAACCAGCTGGGCTGCACATAAGTAGCTCCCGCCACCCCCAGCCAGCGCAAGGCACATAGTCGTCATCTGGGAAGTCTGGTGCATCTTTGGCAGGCCCCTGGCCAGGATGAATCAACGAGGCCATGCTCTATCAGGATCTTGGCCTGATTGATCCTGATTGCCTGCTGACGAAGAAAGCAACGAGCTCTCCTCTACTCCTTTGAATTGACTGTGTTCCAAGCAAGAACGCTGCAGACCTGCTTGCAACCCGTTATACCTGTTTTGTTTGAAGAGTTTCTGCGACTCTACGACCCACATCTTGATTCAACATGTGTGGCATTGCACAGCCAAGCGTGTTTTCGTGAGCCGACAAAAGACTGGGCATGCCGCGGCAAGCATGCATGCTCTGTCAAACAACACATTCTCCTGGGATCATAACAATTCAACGTTCTAAAAAGAAAATGCCCTAAGAAAGGGCCCACGGCTGGCGTTCAGTCGGTTTTACGATTCAATCTGCCCAAATCCGTGTCTCCCGCCCAGCCTGAAGCACCTGCTCAGACTCAGACTTCACCTACGCGAAGTAGCGTTCGCTAGCTTTGCATGTCACGCCCACAAGGCAGCAGGCTTGAACGGCGCCAAGGTGGTTTTGCCAAATCCCTTTTTGGGACTAGTTTGGGTAAGCAGGGCAATCTAAGCCTAGACAGGACTGCCCCGGAAAAGAGAAAAGGGCAGTGCCTCTTGTTTCATGGCTTGATGGTTCTAGTGATCCACTCATGAAGCAACTCTGACTGTCATTGGCTCAAGCCTGGTGCACGTCTTGCTTAGGATTGCTTCATAGCCTGCCTACACATATCTTGCCAGGCATTGCCTTTACTTCTGCGTTCATATTTGACTTGACCCACTCCAGATTCAGGTCTGACGCGAGACCAAACCTCCGCCTGGTCCCGATTTGGACCCCGCTTTGGACCCTCAGGGTGGCAAACCGGATTGCAAACGCCTGGTTGATTCATGGAGGGGAAGTGCCATGGGTCTTTAGTAAGGACCCCCGTTTCTGGTGGCATTGCGAAAGGCATCCAACACTTGACACCAGGCACATATCTGCAGAGCAATACTAACACATCCCCATAATAATCACGCTCCTTCTTGAACTTCCAATGGAAGCCTGGAGCAACTCATGCACGTTGCAAACTAATTGCGACGCATTCCGCATGCGCCACGCCCCAAACCCATTGAGATTCTGCTCAAATAAACTGCTTCTCCAGGAACATATGTCTGCGTGCCCAAGCTAGACACTCCAAACGCTTGGTTTCGCAAATGCCCTTGTAAACCCCACAAAGGTCCCACAAACGCACGTCCCATGAGTCATCTACCAGCTGAGTATCCCGAAGCTGCGAACGCTGCAGTGGATCCGTCCGTGTCGGAAAACCCCTGACAACCCCTCCCAGTTTGTCAATCAGGGCTGCTGGTGGATCTTTCTCCGGCTTGCAAAATTGGGACCTTCACAAGTGAGCCCAGTTTACCCCCGCCAAAAAACCGGCTTCGGACTTGGGCCATCGAACCCCCCCCGCTTCCATCGACGGGATCGGGCGAGCCACCGGCCTTGAGCTGCACAAAGGTCGGCGCCTTGGAGCCCAGTGCGCCGAATGGGCCCCACCCTCCCACCCGTTGCCTGGGGCCATCCGAAAAACTGGGCACCAAACAGCGGAGCACATCTTGGAGGAATTCCAACACGCAACCCGGTGGCCCTGGAAGCTGGGTGTTTTTGGTACGCGACTGACTTACTGGGGCGGGAAGCCTGCAAGGGGGGTGCAAATGACATGAGCCCATTCAAAGCAGGCGTTGGTCATCTTTCACGGTCTTGGAATGAATCTGCAAAGGAACATCAAGACTGAATATTGTTGGAATGTCACACAGTGGGGGATCTTCTTTTTTCAGGAAGAATCTCGAGACTGAGAAGCAACCTGGCACACACCGATTTCCATTGAAGGGAGTTCTGTAAAATTAATAGCAGAAACAATCTCAACACGTAAATCAAAGAACCGGATGCCGGTTTGACTGCTGCGTCTCGCCTGTTGCTATAATTCACACAAATTGATCAACATGAATGCATATTAATCATGGGATCCACTTACCAACCAGTGCAGAATGTTGTGCAACCTTCATGGGTGACTTTGCCGCACAAAAATATGCCCCCACCTTGTGATCTTGTCAAGAGGCCCTTGTCTGCCCTTTTGGTGTAACTGGCCTGGTTCTTTAGGGACTTGTCAGATATGCATCTTCTTTGTGTTTCTCAAGGTTACCCCTCAAGCGTTGCAGGGTCCAGGAAAGAGGCCCGTTTTGATTTTCGGCTCGTCATGAAGGTCTCATTTGGAGGCTTCCCTTACGTTTGGTCCTTTCGGGGTGCACAGGTCAGCCTTGGAACCCAACTCGTGGTTCATATCCGTCTGCCAGTGGCGCGGCGAGTCCGCCCAAAAAAGGGGCAAGATGAAACAAAAAACACGTTTTTGGAGATCCACCAGTTTTCCTTTTCACACACCATTTATGCTCTCAGCCCATTTTTCTTTGAGATCCAAACCCCACGAACCAAAGAAAGATGGGCTGAGGCGCCATCGGCCCTTCCACGCCTGGTAGATCTCCCGCAGCGCCACAAGAGCCTCCAGGAGTGCCTCCCTGGATTCCTGCGCCTCCTGGCCGGTTCCGAAGAGACAAAGGGACCCCATCTCTGCCTCAACTTTTCCCTGGAATGAGATGTATCCCTTCCTGCAAAGGGCAACCAGCAAGGGTGGCCGCACCAACTCTATTCAATTCATGTTGATTCCTGGCATAGATTTAATTAGATCCAATCCTGCCTATGTCCAAGCACAAAGAAAGACACGTTGTTGACGTTCGCTCCTGTCACATGCTCAATCACAAAATCTGTGTGTAGCGAGTACGGTTCATTCTATGTCGTATACTATATGAGCTTCGTGTGTAACTTTGATTCTCTGTGGGCCTCCCCGGGCGCGTTTCGGACCAATCCTGCATTCTGCACCGCCCCCTTGCAGCAACTGTAACGTCAGTTTGCTTTGCAGCACGTAGCGAGGAGAATGGTCCAGGCCAAAATCAACCCCCTGCGTGTAGCTTGGGGGGAGTTGCACGATGTATGTTTTGACAAGCTGGGTCACAGGGCCGGTGCTGATGGTGCGGTGTTTTTCTGCAGGGGCCGCCAAGCATGCGGTATGTTCAAAGGATGACCCTATTCCCTGATGATTCCCTATTTGTGGGGGTGGAATGGCAGCGCAGAATGACACTAATCGTTAGTTTCATATTGGGTGTTCTCAAAGCACAATCCGAAAAGGGGCTCCTAGTGTTCGTGCACACGCGGGCACACACACACACACACACACCGAATATGTTTTCGACACATCTCTGCGGGCCCTGGCTGTATTACCAACAAATCTGGCATAGCTTGATCAACCCTGGCCCGGCGGTCTGCAACTCTTTCTCAACAAGCTGGCCAGAGCTTTGCCTGCAGTGCACAAACAAACACACACCCCTTTCCCACCCCTTTTACCACGAGGGTATGAGTGTGGTAGATTTGCTAGCTCAAGGGTTCAGAGTTTCCTGCGGCCCCTGAGGGCCTCCGACCTAGGGACCCCGAAGGTGGATGCTGCACAACCTCCGAAACGCCCGTTTAGAGCACCACAAGCAATCCTCTCTCATCCCCTTATCGACCTGCAGAAGTCCTTGCAGAAGTTGTGGCTTGCACCCCCCAGAAACTACTGGGTAAGATAAAGTGTCAGAAAAGACTTCCTGAAGGGATCACTGCCAACAAGTGTCGTCAGGATCGGTATCTTCCAGGCTTGGGCCAGAATACTGCAAGGCGTTTTGCGTGAGAATAGCACACACAAATACACAACATCCACTGGCGTCTCACCCACAGAGTTTCTAGAAATCAGACATTGCCAAAGTGAATCTGTCCAAAAGCTTCAAATGGAGCTTTCTTTGGAAGACATCATTCTTGCACACCATGGCCCTCCTTGATGTCCACCAGATTCTTAGACTTGGAATCTTCTCTCTCCTTGGTAGCCTCGCGACCGACTCGTCTCCGAATCACGCGCGACAGGTCTCAAAATCAGGGGGGATGCAGGGAGAACGAACGAAAACCGAGCATGCTTGGGGTCCCGTATTTTGAGAACCCATTTCGCCGAATGGCTCCGTTCGAAACCTTGAGCATTGAACCCATCACTAACCGAACAATGCTTCCGTTCCAGCCTCTTACATGAAACCTCGATCTATATGTTCAACTAAAGCTTCAACCAGCCTCTGCGTGGCTGCCGGAGGGCCCAGGTGTTGTATGTGGCAAACATGCGGGAATGCAAGCAAGCCACCGACTCATTGACTCGAACTGCTCGCTATTCTGCAGGCCCAACAACTAATGTTGAGCTGTGATTGACACTGCCCCACCCACACCCACCCACCCACCCGGGTTGGGACTTTCAGGGGGTTTACCACCTTCGCCGCACGAACTACGGTCAATACCCGTTTTGTTCCTGAATCCTCATGTCGCGTCTCCTCAGGGCTTCCTCCTTGTGTTCCTCACATTCGTGGAGTCATGATTCTCCTATGGATTCATCATTGTTTTCCTCATGGCTTCATTTCCTCATGGCTCCCCTTTCAAACCTTGTGGTATCCTTTGACCATCCGAACAGCTGTCGTCTCCTCACACGTTTCGGCCCCCCCCCCATGCCTCTTGCAGCTCTGCCGAGAGCTCCGCCAACGACGCCTCCAAGACCGCCCGGTCCTGCGACGGAAAGGCAAAACCCACCGTGTTCAGTGGGTCCGGTCCAAGCCTCACCACAAGAGAATCGGAAGCGTGTTGCTGTGCCTCACACATGCGAAAATCGATCCGCTCAAAGCCGGGCAGTTTGCAGGCCAGCAGAACATGAATCCTTTGTTTGTTTCCTTCCTACCACAAGCAGGTTTTGCTAAACACGTGAAAATACAACCAGCGAGCAGGTGTGCCTAAAGCACCAACAGCACAAATGGGTCTGGGGATTCTCACAAGGCTCCCCCGCAAACATTGGGTCGGTCACGGTTTTGGTAAGTAAGGCCAGGAGAGGGCAGGTAGTGCAGAGTCCAAGCGAGTTCCTTAGGAAGCCTTGGGGACCTTCTCTCCAAGGCAGCTTCCACTACCCCCCCCCCCCAACCACGACCCCAGGGTGTATGAGTTGTTCTATTCATTATTCTTCGTTGAAGTCTATAGCTACCCGTTTCCTGTTTGGGGGCCTTTGTACATTGGGGGGGTATACAACCTTTGATGAGAACAAGTTCCTACACCACGATAAGCTCGCGGAGTTCCCAAAATGATACCTCGATATCACACTCGATTCCTTGAGGGATCCTCCACATGTTGCGAACGTGACAAAAATGACAAAATGCCTCGTTCTAGCAGCCCCGCACTCGTTCTACAATGGCCTTGCCCCGCGGACCATTCCGGGCCTCTGCAAGCTGCTGGCTGTCCGCCAGAGTCTCGTCCAGCCTGGTGGGTCCACCGGCGGAAGCTCAGGTTGGATGTGCCGAAAAAATATGGCGAACTCCCGGAACCAAACTTTTGGCCAACTTGGCGAGGCGTTTCTTCGTTTTTCGGGTGGTTGTATTGAGGCCCTTGCAGACCCTGTCCTTGCCGAGTAAGTGCTACTTGCCGATATCGCTAAGCTGATGTCGTGTTACTTGCCGAGGGTGTTGAACAAAGTGACTTTCGCAAAAGGAACTGCGTCTCCAGCATGATCTGCTAGTCCCCCGTCGGCAGTTGTTTGCGCAGGCTCAGTGCTCGATACGAGCCATGTGCGCAGATGTGCCTTTCAAATCAGCCAACCCAGAAAAACTGGGGTGCCTCTTTTCGCCCCATGCGAAAGCACCGCTTGCACGGGGATGCTCTCCCAAGAGAATAGGAAAGAAAGCCTAAGGGTGGGACTGGCAGAATGTCGGCTCATTGTTTGATGATTTGCCCCCCCCCATTCTCCAAGCATCGTGATTCTAGAGTGAAGCCATGTTGTTTCGCGGGGTCCTTTTCCGGTGCTCCAAAGTTTGCCTAGCACAAGGGTAGAAAAATGGTTCCTGAGAAGGGAAACTTCATCCATTTGATGCCCTTGGGGTGTTGTGAAGGCGTGGAGCAACCATCCCCAAATGTCCCCTCTCGAATCCGACGGGATCTGTGCCTCTGACATGCAATCCATCTGGACATTGGCAACTGATTCAATTCACAGGCAAAGAGGAATGCAGACTTGGGTATATTGCAGCCAGGTGGGGACTGGTCAGTCTCTCAAGGATCCTTGCTCTGGCTGAGAAGTTGATATGTAGCAAGAATTCCATCAACCCAGACAACTCACGGAAACCAGCTACAAGCTTAAGGCACTCCCAGGTCTGCTGTTTTCTTCCTGTTGTTCCGGTCGCTGGGAGGCAAATGGAGCCCTGGACTCACCGGCCAAGGTGTTTCGCACTGAGCAGTTCTTTCCGGGCACTGGCCAGAACAGTTACTGGCTGCTAGCATTTGCCGCGATTTGTTTGACCGAGTGGTGCAACTGTAACCTGGCCCAAGCATGTTTGGAAATCGGAAATGCCAAGTCGAGAGAATTTCCGGGCCTCACCTGGTTCAGGTTTGTTGAGGATGGCCCCAACAAAATCAGCCCCGCACGGGGCAGCTGGACGGGAGACGCTTAACCTTACTGGAGTATGAGTATGATGAGCAAACCTCTGTCCCGTAACACCAACCACGAATGGGTAAAGCAGCACTAACGACTACTGGCAAAATCGGGCCGAACTGTCTACCCCCCCCACCCCCCACCCCCCACCGCACCCGGTGCGTGCCAAACCTAGAAAACCCCCCCAAAAGCAAGCCCCGCAGAACATCCCAAAACCCAAAACCCAAAAGCCTCGACTCCTTCTCCCACCCTCCCCATCCCATCCCTCCCCCCATCGGCCTGCCCCGCAGCTCCTCCTTCCGCTTCCGCGCCACACCCTCCTTCAGCTCCGAGGCCGCCAGCTCCTTCTCGCAGAAGGCCTCCTCCGCGCCCAGCGCCGCGTGCGCCTGCGACTTGGCGACGGCTTTGCGAGCGGCGGCGACGGCGCGTGGCTCGGCCGCAGGAACCCGGGGCCAGGGGCTTTGACCAAGGGAACACCCAAAAGCAAAAATAGCAAAAGGCTAGCTATGGTCTGGTTTGGAAGATGCCGGATGAGGGGTTCGGCGAACTTCTACCTGGGATTGGCCATGTGTAGCTCCAGGACTCCAGGAAACTTCGTCCTGATGGAACCAGAGATCCGCATGCACGCCTCAGGCCGACCGCGCCTGGTTTGATATGCGAGTGATGCACGCTACAGAAGCCGCCAAACCTCGTGGGCCCGAAGCCAGGTGTACTTCACGGCCGCAAACGCGCGCCCATCGGCGCGCAGCGGTCCGACCAAAACAAAACGGGAAATGCAGAGGTTGTTTCTGGGCGCTGGCTGAAAGGGAAGGAAGGAACGCAAAGCTTCTGTCGTTTGCAAATGGAAAGCCCTGGCTTTTGAAATATCCTGACGGAATCTTGCCAATGGTGAAGGACCACAAACTCGCAAACTGCACATGGTTCCTGGCAAAGCGCCATCTTTGTCCTGCGTAAATATGCTTTGTCCTGTGAAACGGCGCTGCATAATCTTTTCCTGCCGTTGACGCCTGAATGAATAGGTGGTGACGTCTACTTTGGGTACTCTCAGGGTAGGGTCCAAGTGAATCCATGCGAGTTTCTAGAGGAGTCTCACATAGCCCTGGCTCGAGAACCAGGGAAGCGATCCATGGGGTCGCTTCAGATTGTGCTCAAATGAGTCATTCAATTTTCTACTATACAGGACCAGCTGGCTGAGGTTGTCTTCCTGAATCATACATACATGCATGCGTGACCCAATAATTCAGGCTATCCAATATTGCTTTGTTAACTCATAGTTTGTTTCGCATGTTGGATGTTGATGTGTTGTCGTTGTTGTTTACTGTCAGAACTGCATAACGCATTTGTCCATTTCTGAATAACGATATGGTTGTAACGAAAATGTGTTCTTGTAAGATGTGGCGCCACTTTGGTTGGCAAGAGCACCGGTGAAATCACAACATCGAGCTCGGCCAGTGTGCGGCACACCCCAAACGCCTGCTCCAGCCGTGAAAGCATATCTTTGATCATCGTCTTCACCTGCAAGATGCAAATCGGCCGAGTCATCTAGCGAATCCAAGATGTCCAAAAATAGCCGAGCAACCATTCGCATGAATGGGACGGATTTGGCCCTGGAGCGTGCATAATGCTCTGGAAAGGCTGAAACATCTATGCAGACTAGAAAAGTTGAAGCACAGGCTTGCAGCAGAAGAAATTGCAAATTGGAACGCGAACTCTTCAATCTCCATAATAAACACAAATCAGAGACTAGTTCACGGAGCAAATCCAAACCTCTGGCAGAAGACTCATTCCTTCCGTCCTTCAAGAGTGCCCTGCAATTTCCTGAGCTCGCTGTTGAGACGTCATAGCAGGGGGAGCCAATGCAACCTAGTGACTATTTGCGGCCAGTAAGGACCATTGAGAGGCATCCTCCTATGCCTTTCCTATGGCTCTGAATCATTGGAGCCCTTCGAGGAGTGCCTGGCAATCTTGAAGTGTCCTATGAGTTCCCTTGCCCAAACAAGCCTAAGTATCTTGTTGAATGTTCCTGAGCACCTTAGTACCCAAACTGTGGATCTTTGAGAAGGGATGCATGTGCATACATACGGGTTGGTTGGTTGGTTGGTTGGTTGGTTGGTTGGTTGGTTGGTTGGTTGGTTGGTTGGTTGGTTGGTTGGTTGGTTGGTTGGTTGGTTGGTTGGTTCGTTGGTTGGTTGGTTGGTTGGTTGGTTGCTTGCTTGCTTGCTTGCTTGCTTGCTTGCTTGCTTGCTTGCTTGCTTGCTTGGTTGGTTGGTTGGTTGGTTGGTTGGTTGCTTGGTTGACTGGCTGGCTGGCTGGCTGGCTTGCTTGGTTGGTTGGTTGGTTGGTTGGTTGCTTGCTTGGTTGGTTGCTTGGTTGGTTGACTAGCTGACTAACTGGCTGCTTGCTGGCTGCTTGCTGGCTGCTTGCTTGGTTGGTTGGTTGCTTAGTTGTTCTGTAGTTGTGCATGTATAGGCCCTCTCGTTAGGCAGGGCAGGGTGGTGTCAAAACTCGGTGGTGTCGACGGCTGCCCATCCGGGAAATACAATTCCCAAGCGATCCCAGTGGGCAAGCAGGGTATCTTGTGTTGTGTTTTTCATTGCCTCCTACAGAATGTGCGCTGAACCAACGAACCCCGCAAGCCAACGCAAACCCACAAGCCAAGAAACTCACCTCCGCCAACACCTCCCCTGCAACTTGTGACTCCTCTGTACCGGGCCTTGGCCAGGGGCTGGTCCCTGAGCGCCTGTCCCAACTGCACAAGCCCCGTCGATCGCAGCAGCCGCAGCGCTGCTGCCCTTTCCGCCTGCGAGCGGAAGAAAGGGCAGAGGCAAGGGCGAGAGCGTCCCAATTGCGTGACCCTGGCAGAAAAGGAGGACAGCCGTACCATCTCAAATCGCCCGAGCTTGCCCTACGCATTTGGGGGGGTGTGCGCCAAAACCAGGGCAACTCGGAAATGTGTGGCTTCCCTTGAAGCCAACCTGAAAGGGTGCCCTCAGGAGCCACACCTGCTGTTAGCCCAGTCCCTGTGGCCAGCTGGCCTTTTCACTGGGTAAGCTGACTTCGACGTTCGCAGCACAGATGCCGCACTGGACGAAGCCAAAATACCTTCCCCGTCCTAGGGGTGCGACAACAGGCCAGTTTTGCTTGCTCCCAATCACTCTCCCTGGAAGGCGAAGTTGAGCAGCGTGCGCAAGGCGGCACTAGCTTTGAACCTTCAGTAAGCGTCACTGAGGCGTGTTGCTCACCCAAGGACCTCCCATGCAGGCAGAAGGCGATAGCCCTGACGCAAGAAGCCCTCAACTTGTCAGCATTCGCGCGCACAGGACGCGCTCCGGCAAACGCCTTCGCTGCAATCCACTGATTGGGCCCCAAGAGAACCGGGTTGCCCTGATATGACTATCTTCTTGAACACATGTATGGACCCCCTCCAAGTGCAGCATTCTTGGAACATGCCAAACTTTTCCCAAAAAAGGTGGCAAACAAACCTGAATCAAACGGCGAGACGGCGGAAAAACCAGCCAAACAGTCAAGGCAGCAAGCCATGGTACCAATGGAAAGTCACAGAGTGCTTTGCCTGGGAACAAAGGACTGATGTGCGCACACCAAGCAGGTAGTCGAGTTACGGACTTGATACCTTCCAGACGGAAATCGTTCAGTTCACTATGGCTCACCTGCTCTCGTGTGGGCAATTCAAAATGGGAAAGGAACACTCCCCCCTCCTGCAAAGCAAAAGAACCAGTGGAAGTCGTTGAGCCCAACACTCCGAGGCGCACCCATTCTGAGTGACATGAAGATCAAAACGAAAAAAATCTGCGGGAAAGGAAACCCCGCGGTCATGGAGGGAGTTGTGCTGGCCCTTGTCGTACCAAACGTCATCCAGGCATGAATCTAGTCGTGCCAATCGTCTGTTGTTGTGAGGGGCGCCGAAGCTGTAAGCAGCTGATCCACACTGAAGGAATATATGATCGATCCCATAGTTGGGCGACAAAGATCAAGAATTATCTGCACTCATGAATATGAAGCTTACTAACTGGCAACAAACGGGGGCCTGCATGAAAGAACATTCATCATAGCCGAGTTTGTTTCGCCTTCATGTGAACTTGTGAACTCGGCATATTTCCTTCTTGTCATAGTGCCCCAGCTTGGGCTTCTTAGGCTGCGGGGGTGCCGGGGGAGGTGCCTTTCCAACTAAGAGTTCTTACTGGCATTGGTTGCTTCATGCCAGTCCGTTGGTGAGCCGTACTGAATGTTGGGCATATCGTGGAGTATCGCCATGCGCATGTTTGCTGATTGCTGTTGTCGCATTATATTATATATATATATATATATATGTTCCAGGCCGTGGACCCCCCCCCCCCACCCCCCCCCCCCCCCCCCCCCCCCCCCTGGGGGTGGGGTGGGTGGGTGGTGGTGGTGGTGGGGGTGGTGGGGTGGTGGGGTGGTGGTTGGGTGGTTGGGTGGTTGGGCCAACCCCCCCCCCCCTGTGGGGGGTGGGGTGGGTGGTGGGGTGGTGGGGTGGTGGGGTGGTGGGGTGGTGGGGTGGTGGGGTGGTTGGGTGGTTGGGTGGTTGGGTGGTTGGGTGGTTGGGTGGTTGGGTGGTTGGGTGGTTGGGTGGTTGGGTGGTTCGGAGTTGGTTTGGGCTTGGTGGGTTGGTTTAGGGTTGGTTCAGGGTTGGTTCAGGGTTGGTTTGCGGTGGGTTTCGGGTGGGTTTGGGTTTTGGTTGATTTAGGCTTAGGGTTGGGGTTAAGGAGGGGTTGCAGGGTGGTTTGGTTTAGGGTAGGATGTTGCGAGAGGTGCGGGGGTGTTGGTTCACGGGGTAAAAGGGGGTCTGGGACCGAAGCTGCAGGGCTCGCACGGTACTGGACAGCATCCCCAGCATTGCCAGCATCATCCCCAAGATGCGGATGATGCGGGGGAGTGGGGGGACCATACCATTGGGGGGGGGGGGGTACGTGGCCCAGGGACTGGTACATATATCTGTGTGTGCACATGCACAGGCGGGCAAACACGCGTGCAGACACAGACGCAAAGCCCTGTAACTTTCCGCCAGGCCGCGTCTTGCTTGTTGCTGGGACACAAACATATCTCAGTATGGCAACCATTGTTGGATCCAGGCAATGAGTCGAATCTTCAATCCCAATGTGAATGCAAGTACAAGGCACACATGACTGCGCCAAAGCTACGCGATCCTCCCACACGTGGATGTGTCTCCAAATGGGGAAGCCTCAGACCTTGCTTTCCCTTTCAAAACCATCCAAAAAGGATACCTTCAAAACATACACACCCATATGGCTGTGGATCAAAACCAATGGTACCATTTTGGGGTAGGTGCACTACCCAGCCAGTTTAGTCTAATTTAGTGGGGATTGGGATGTTCACTGGGGGATAACCGGGCTTTTTACCCATGGCCATATCACTCCGCATTGCACCCTGATGGCAAGCCTGCGCTGACGGCAGCTGAGCCAGCGAAGTGCCGCGCCTACCAAAAAGCTTCCAGCGTCGGGTCCCGACACCGTCGCGGAGGCGACTGGGGCTTGTCTCAAAATAACAGTTGATTATTTGTGTTGGTTTTCTCCTTTTTTTCTTGTTTTTCTGGAGTCTTGAAGGCATCCGCTCATTTCCAAACCTGAACCGTTTGCAGTCTGAATTCACCGCAGGACCTGTCTCGGGAACTGGGGTCTGGGTCCACCACGAACGAGAATGAGCTCCTCCCCGTCATGATTGAGGAATGAGATGTAGATAAGACCCAGCAAATCTGGCTTTGTGCTGGCCAATGGGACAATGATCGAATCCGAACAAGCAAACGAGGCCAATTCTGCTTTGCGGGTAGGGTGCTGTTGCTCCATCCTAAAGCGCACACACCCTGCGCGTTTCAACTGAGCACGGGGCCGGGAACAGACATGGACAACACGGATGGGATCTCTTGGATTTGCCCAAAGGTGAGATTCAGGGCACCTGGGTCTTCTGGGAGAAGGAGCCCGTTTCTATCGAGTTCCCTGCAATTCAACGTTCGTGTCAGGAGGCGCCCCTTTCCTTGCTGTATTTCAACCAAAGGGCCCTGCAAAAGGCAGCCGATGAAAGGATTCTCGGGCGCATCTGGGGATGTGGGCTGCTTCTTGGCTCAGACTTGGAGGACTTTTTCGCTCCAAGCATGTCGCTGCGGGTCCCAAAAGGGAACAACGTAAAAGCATCCACTTGTCTGAGCTCAATCATGACAGGCTTGGCTTGATCAATCAAAAAGCCGAGGGAAGACCTCCTGCGTGCATGTTCCAAGGGATTTTGATGTCTGGAACGATCTAGTTGAATGTCCCAAGAATGAATCGACGCTCAACTTCAGCCGATGAGCAGAACTGACGTCCCTCCCCCGTCAAAACAAAGAGACGCTAAACAGAGTCCCAGCCAAGGCACTGAAGAAACGCCACCTGGCGAGCAGAGAGGTTGGTTTATGCGGGGTCCAGGTGAATCATGACGCCGCCAGAAAACTGCGCCGCGAAAACTGACAGGCCCCGAAAACACACCTTTGCAAAGCAATCCCCTTCGTGGGGGGACCCTTTTGTTTGGCTCCAGCCTAAATTCCAAGGGAGGGACCCAAGAAAGGTCCTGTCAGTGCCGGCCTTCTGCCCCGGCTGTGAAAGGTTTCGGTTGCAAGCGGAGCTGTCTAGCAACTCACAAGCCTTTGAAACTAGCAGCCGGCAAAGACAGCCCCCTAACAGATCATGTCGTTGAATATGTGCTGACTTCATGTTTAGTTACCAGTGACTACGGAGTTTGGGCTGAACCACTTTGAAGTTTCTTCTTCTTCTTCTTCTTCTTCTTCTTCTTCTTCTTCTTCTTCGTTTTCTTGCTTTATTTACCCCTGCTCTCGCCTTTACCAGAATCTGCCTCTCGTAGCAGTCGACCCGCAAAGCTGCGCGCTGCTCAAGGTGAGCTTTCCCAACTTCACCACCGCAAACTCCCAACTGGCCAAAAAGCGAACTGAAGCATCCAATAAAACTTTAAAGGGCTGTCTCAGCCGATCTGAAGGTTTTTTGCCAACACTCAAAACCCGCAAAAGACCCGACATGGGTATGCCTCAAATTAAACCACCAAAAAAACCGCAGGTTTTAGTCCGTGTTTCCATTTACCAGGGTTCGATTTTGGGCACCTACTTTTGACCGACTACCCGAAATGAGGTCAAACAACGCCCCGCCTTCTGCTTCAGCAGTTGCAGCGCGGAGCCCAGGGCTCTGAGCTCCTTCTGCCGCCCCTGCTGCCGCCGCTGGAATGCATCGGCCTCGAGCCGCTGGGAGACGGAAGTCCCTGGAGGAACAAACGGAAAACGAAGGTCTCCATGCTTGTTTGTGTTTTCTTTGGGGGGGGGGGGGCTGCAGCCGCCTTAAAAAGCGCGGCATTCCGGGCAGCTGCGAGATCTCAAGGGCCTTGTGGGAAAATAGATGGATACTGGAAACTATCAGGATCCATTGCGTCTGGCATACATTTCTCAACAGTGAAACAAGCCATGCCACTTCTCGCAGTTCGAACCTACCAAACTCACCCCGACCCCCAGACCCCCAGACCGCGAGTCACGGCCTTCATGGAGCACATGACCTTCAAGTCCTCCAGGTACGTGCTGTCCTCCTTCGCCTCCTCAAAATGGCGCGCTGGTGTTCGTGTCACCCTGAAAGCGACCCCATCCAGCTTCAAAAGCTGAAACCTCGCTTGGGTACAGCATTTATTTTTAGGCCCCCCTCTCTTTTCGAAGCCTCGAATGCGAACCTGGGTCAATTCAGGACTCCTGTTGGAATGCACTACCCCACCTCCTCCTCCCAAGGCGGGCTGGACCCAAAAATCCAACCGCTAAAAGGGGATACCCCCCAATCAATCAGTCTTGCGTGGAAAGCTCCGTCAGTACCTGGTTGGGGCCTCAGCAAACCGACCGATAGAAATGCCGCCAACCACTCTGATCTTGAAACCTTCCCGCAACCCAACAAGGAACATCCTTCAGAACCTCGAAGAGATAGGGGTCCTGCAAGAAGCGAGCAGGGATACTTCAAAGTGAGCTCAACAGCAGCCAACTGACTGGCTGGTGCGTAGGAACCTCGCCCTTACACGGTTGTCGTTGGCTTTGAACAGAAAAACGGGACTACTACCTGCTCCTTTGCTCATCCCTGACCACAACCAGTGAACATTGACATCAACAGAACATTCCAAAACAAACACATTTCAAGTTAGCATCCCCGAAGCCAAAGAAATAAGTGATCCGCTGAAATCAACTCAGCAGCCTCCAAAGTGTCAAACAACTACTACAATTGACTGATCATCGTCCAACAAACGCACCATATTCACTGACATAACCCAATCGTCCTTGCCAAAAAACAACAATGCATTGAAATCAATCGCTACAATCAACTCGACACCCTCCGTCAAATGAAAACAAGACTCCAATAAGCTGAACATCCGAAACGGAGCATCAACCATCCAAGAAACACCAGTTGACATTCCACAACAAACATCACATAGACTAACCCAGCAAAACATATACGCACAAATGAGGCCAAATAAATCACTTGAACCATGGACGAGAAAGAGTTGTTTCCCCAAGAGGGCATGGAAAAGTTGGGATTTTCCTTCTGGTGTGGTTCTGCGTGGTCCCCCCTCGTCCTCTACTAGTGTGGAACCCAAACTGAATCGGGTGGATCAAAACCAACTGTCGCCTCTGGATTTGCCCAACCGACGTCATCCCTCCTGGCGCAAGGCGTCCAGGTCGGCCTCTGCGCGCCGCTGCTCCTCCTCGCCTGCGCCTCCCGAAGGCCCGAAGCTGAAGGACGGGGGGGTCCTTGGCTTGCGCCTTGGATGCGGTGTTTGTGTTTGAGGCTGCCCATTTCCCGGTTTTACACAGGCGCAACACCCACCGCCATTTTCGGGGTCCCCCAATTTTGCACGATTTGGGTACTCGCAGGATTCAAACCCAGGGGTCATGTCCTGAAAGAAAGCCCTGGGTTTGACTCCCAAAGCCCCGGAGCCCCGTGCATGTCCAGCAACCATTTTGGAAAGGCATTAAAACTCATAGCCATATGGGTTTGTCATGAGGTCACTAGTCCCAGTTCAATTCGGTGATTTAACAGCCGAAGAAGCGAACAGTACCCTCAAAATCACGGCCCCCTTGCCCCCAAAGTGACCTTCCCATCAAATGAATCCAACCCCTTTTTCTGTTATAGCTTGTGGATGCTGTTTGTTGGTCGTGCAAAGTCAACAATTCTAAGCAGAAGTTCCCCATCTAACCAAGAAAACCAGCTTCGGTGCCGGTTGCCGCGGGTGGAGCCTCCATCAGGACAGCGGCGAGAAAAATCCGTTGACTGTCGGTTCTGCCGATCGCTTTTCAAGGTCCATTCAGGGACCGCTTAACATGTCCCTTGTTCACACGCCCAAGGCTACGCCAGGTGAAAGAAAAGAAACAGTCCTTTGTCTCAATGCACACATGGGTCTTAACTAGCACGGTACCTAACTGGCCTGTGAAACCAAGAATTGCATTGTTCGGTCGAAACATCACGCAGGTCCTTTCAGCCATTGGCCTCTTCTTTACGGATCGTATCTTTCCAGGGCGAAACCACGGCTGAATGGATGCTGCTGCTTTTCCTGACTCCTGATAATTTACCACTCGGTATGCCGCACGGACAATGTTTGGTCAGATGAAAGGAGGACCAGGAACTGCTCTAAATTCAGAGTCAGATTTCCTGAAGCCAGGGATAGGCAGGGAGTTGTGGGCAGGAGGCAAAGAAAGGATCAGCGTATCTTGTTTTGAGGGTACTCTTTGTGCTGTTCAAAAAAATGAAAAACCGCCGATTTCTATGTTGGAGGTGAAGTGCGTGCCAAGACTTCGGATCCTGCCCGGGTTGTGTTTCTCGTCCAGATCAGAAAAGTCTGAGTCGAACAATTATGGGTCTGAGGTGGTATGTGTTTTCTTGAATATTGTGTGCTGGCTTCCCTTCAAAACAGGTCCGCAAAAGGTCCCTCAAAGCCAGGCACTGCCATGTGTCAAGCTGGAGGCTCGTTTTTGACACAAATGTGTACCACTGCACATTCGAGGCTGCCTTTTCTGTTCTCCCTTGCGCACTGCCCCCTTCGGGGCTTTGAATCCACGTCCGTGAAAAAGCGGGCGCCTAAGGCTGCCGTCTTCTCGCGCAGCCGCGCAGCCGCAGCCTCCTCGGTTCAGAAAGGCTTGGAGGGCATGCATCTTTACCCACCATATGAACGGATAGACAGGTGGGTGGGTGTAATGATGGAGAGATAAAGAGATGATGATTTGCCTCTCTGTGCACATTTCAATGATTCACCATGCCTTTGTAACAAAAATAGATGGATTCCACAAAACTCCAGCCCCGGCACACTTGCCCTCATCAAAGGAGGCAGGTCGACCAAAAAGGCGGTTCGGCACTAAATGGTTTGAACCGCATGGTTGCCAAGATTGCACCGAAACGTTGGAAGTTCTTCGCCAAATGCCTGCGAATTCTACACCAAATCGGTAGAAATTCGGCGTGGAACGAACTAAAACGTTGCCTGCAGAGCGGGCTGGAGTGAAATGGGGTGCAACTTCTGCGCTTGAATGCTAGGCCACATTCGGCCAGTCAAACAAATGTGTGCCGCGTTTTCCAAAATCAGCGAGGCCAGTGGGGTATCCCCAAAGGTCTCCCAAGCAAACAATGATCAAAGTCACCCCCTAAGGGAAACAACCCCATTTACTGACTTTGATAACCCCCAGAAACCGTCAAAATAATGACCCCAGAACAATCCACACGCGTTCACTCACGGGTTTTCAAACCGCGGCCTTCTGGCTCCCCAGCTTCTTCAGGGTCAGCTCATTGGCCTTGCAACTCGCGTGCGCGAGTCGCATCCGAAGTGGGGGCGCAAAAACTCGAATGCGGGGGATTGGGGGTACAACCAAACTCATTTAAGTAATAACTTGAGTCATAACCATGGAACAATGATGTTAAAATGCTTCAGCCCCTTGAAGTATTTTCCCGAAATCTGAAGGCATCTGCCTTAAAATCACCCGCAATTGCAATTCTCTGCCCACGAAAGAAACAAAGGCCCCCACCCCAGGAAAGGATCTGAAGGAACCTTCTTGGAAGGTCTTCGAAAGTTCTTGAAACCTGGTGGGATGAAAGGCCGCAATCTCTCGCCTTGTTCATTGTTTGCACAAAATCAGTCGGAACTCATTCGACGTGAAAGGGGCAAGACCTGTGTTGCCTTGAAAACGGAACGTGAGAGGCTTGGGGTGTTGGAAGGGCTCGGGCCCTGCCTGGGTCCATGAGCGTTTGGGTGATCCGGGCAGCATCCATCACAAGCAGTGGTGTACCACCCCTGATTCGTACAGTCCTCCGATTGATTCATCCGCAGTTGACATTAAGTTGACATCTCATCCACCGCAAAAAGGGGGCTTCTCTGCGAGTTCCACAAGTACCCTCCACACCCACCGTTTTCCCGGGTTCTTTTGAGAAGGACACTCTGATGGATTCGATGAAATTGGGTGGATTTGTGTAGCTATTTAACCCCCCCCCCCCAAAGAACGCACCCCTCTGGCCCAACTAGCCTGATTTGCGCTCGTCTCCTTCACGGAAAGCTCCTTGAGCTCTCCCTCCAACTTCCCACGCAAAGTCCTGGGAGCGATCTCGTTGGTTTCAGGCTTGTGACCTGGACAAGCCAAGCAAAATCTGAGCTCAGCTTGCCAGGCAAATGCACACCATCAGGAACTGGTCCCAGGTCGAAACCACGAAGTTGGGGAACGTGTCCAAAGCGTCGGTGCGGCTCCCAAAAAGGCAGGCGGCGGGCTGCCGTGGCAAAAATGCGAATCCTCTAGCTGCTACAATGCGTGGCACCACGTGTTAACGTGCGTCGCTTCAAACCAGCCGTGGCAGCCATGCGAATCACCAGGAAGGATGAGGCTACCGTGCAAGTTTCTGGCCTGGTTTTTTTCAGTGAAGGACCAGCCTTGAACATGATGAAACCGGTCTGATTGAAAGTTCGGAATCTCCGCTTCAACTAGACAACCCGGGTGGTGTGAGAAACCAGGGATTCGAACAGCGCCTGGAGGGTTGACCAAGCCGTGACCCTTTTGGCCCCCCAATTAACATCTCTCTGACGATACTGCTCGGGGGGGCCTGCTTTTTGATTGCCTCAAAAAGATTTATATAAACCCTGCAATCCGATACTGCTCACCGTAGACTAACAGACTGATTGCTCTCGCAAGGCACTGCAGCATCTCGAGCACGCCACCGTCAGCATCCGCCTGAGGCGTCCGTGAGCTTTGGGTGAAGTGTGTCCCTAGACGACGCGAAACCCGACTTACCCTGCTTGGTTCGGTGAGGTTGTTTACAGAAAACCGCGGAACAAACGTGGGGCCAGGCAACCCGGTCTAATGATCGTGTCCAGAAAATTGGGACCCACTAACAAAAGGCAAGCGCTGCTTTTGTCAGTTCGAAGCCATCCAGCAGCTCCGCAGATTTCTACAATGGCTTCAGGGCCAAGTCTGTCAAAGTCTGGTCCACCATGGCTCCCTTCCTCGAAGTTTCAACAGAAACATGAGCCATTCTTGGGCAACCAAGAGGCCTGCGTCGGCAACTAAATGGTCTGGCTTAACATGTCTGATTCGGAAGCTAGCGATTCAGCAACTGACTCAGCAATCTGATTGTGCATCTACCCATGATTCGGCACGTGAACTGGTCTCGTACAGGCAACCAAACGGTCTGACGTGCGTTTGATTCGGCTAACGCAAGGAAGCAACGCTGAAGGCCGTTCGGGCCAAGTCCTCTACCACGGCCATCAGAAGCCCCCCTATACCGAATCCTGCCTTTCCACCGATTGAAGCCGCTGTCAAAAACAATCGCTGGAGTTTCGTTCTTGTAGAACTTCCTACTTTAATTCTTCTCATGTCTGGGAGAAGGAATCTCAGCTTGTGGGAATTCCACCATGGTTCAGTCTGATGGTGAATGGCCTGAAATGAGCCAACAAAAGAGGTTGACGAAGCTGGGGACCTCCCAACCCGTTTCCCGATTGAGGGTCAAACTGGGGGCGGTCATTTTGTGGATAGGGAAACCGACAAAGGTGCTGTTGGAAAGGTCCAAGCAGCTCCACGCCTGAAACATCCTCTATCACACAATCCTATCCCAACTGAAACTTAGAAGGCAGATCTGCTTCATCTTGCAGGGGCCCTAACTGAGCGCCCGAAACCCAAGCAGTTGGCGCTACATGGCATAAAGGTTGTTGTGGGGCCCCACTACCCCAACAAATCAGGCCGCGATTGATCCCTTTCTGCTTCCTTTTCGGAGAACTGTTGCCCTCGCCTGGAGCGCTTGCTTCAAGTCTTCGGACAAATCCAGCTGCATGAGCTGAGGCTCCTCAGAACCGAGGGCTGCCGTTGCAGTCGGTGCAAAATTGCTCTCCTGTGTGTGTGTGTGCTTTTGAGGGAATGACAACAGAAAGAGGAATGGCACCATTTTGGGGTCGCCCTATACGCCACAATGGTTTAAAGGCAAACCGCTGGGACCCAAACGCAATTTTGAGAAGCTCTCAAAATGTTCAATTTGACGCACCCCGGAAATCATGCGGCAGTCCGAGAATGGATGGCTGATGATTCCCTTCAAGCAAACTGAGGGGGCATCCTGCTTGCGCCAAGCAAACAAAAAAGCCCGGCCCGGATTTGCTGCCGCGACCCACGCACTGATCACCAAACAACCCCTCTGCAAAACTTGCTCGTCCCCAAAACTGCCAGCAAATCTTCTCCAATCCCCAACAACTCGCCCCCCATCCCATCAAAGTTCTCCTAAATCCTATAAACTCTTCCCCATTCCCATGAAACTAATCCAATCCTAGAACCAACTCCTCCCAAACAACTTGTCCCCAATTTCCCCCATCCCCAACTCCCCAAACAACTCGCCGCCCATGGACGCAAAAAGAAGAAGAAAACTAGAAGATGCGTGACCCGAAAGCATTTGCAGCGGCGGCAAGTTCTCCTAGCAATCCTAGCAAGTTCTCCGCGCAGTTGCGCGTCTGAGCAAGTTGTTGGCGCGAGTTCCAAGCAAGTTCTCTGCGCAAGTTGCTCTGAGCAAGTTGTCGGCGCGATTTCCTCTGAGCAAGTTCTCCAAGCAAGTTCTCTCAGCAAGTTGCTCTGAACAAGTTTCCTCTATTCGCGAAACACTTTCGTGCCTAAAAGTTGCGATTTTCCAGCCGGAGCTGCGAGAGTTTATTTCGCGTGCTACTTCGGTACTCAAAAGTTGCGATATTCCAGCCGGACCAGCGAAAGTTTACTTCGCGTACTATTTTCGTACTTTCAAAGTGCGATTTTCCAGTCTGAGCTGCGAAAGCTTACGTCGCGTGCTACTTTGGTACTGAAAGTTGCGATTTTCCAGCCGGGCTGCGTACTCTTTCGTACTGAAAAGTTACGGTTTTCCCTCCGGAGCTGCAAGTGTACTTCGCCTACTACTTTCACAGTTGCGATTTTCCAGCTGCAGCTGCCGCGCCAGGGGGGGAATCGAACCCGCGACCGCGGGATTGCGAAAGCAGGCGCGCAAACCACGAGACAACTTCCAAAGGCCATTTCGCGAGTAATAAAATCGCACGGCGCCACAGCGAGAGCGCGTCGACACGCACGATCCCCGCAGAGGGTTCATCCGCGCACCGCCAAAACGCAAAAAGCCTTGAGTTTTTGTACCTCGACCACGCCGATCCCCGCAGAGGGTCACGCGGGCAGATCAGAAATCGCCAAAAACCTCGAGTTTTTGTACCTCGACCACGACGATCCCCGCAGAGGGTATCCGCGCACCGCAAAAACGCAAACAACCTCGAGTTTTTGCACCTCGACCACGCCGATCCCCGCAGAGAGTCGCGCGGGCACCGCAAAAATCACAAAAAACCTCGAGTTTTTGCACCTCGACCACGCCGATCCCCGCAGCGGGTTGCGCAGGCAGATCAGAAATCACAAAAATCCTCGAGTTTTTGCACCTCGACCACGCCGATCCCCGCAGAGGGTCGCAAACCCGATCGACGATCAAAGTCCTGCCCCGGCGCCCTAGAAAGCAAAACTTAACTTACATAGCTGCTAACGCCGAAGCGCTATGCACTTGGCTCTATGCGCTTGGCTCTATGCACTTGGCTCTACGCACTTGGCTCTATGCACTTGGCTCTATGCGCTTGGCTCCATGCACTTGGCTCTATGCACTCGGCTCTATGCACTGCTCTGTGCACTTGGCTCTATGCACTTGGCTCTATGCACTTGGCGCTCTATTTGCACTTGGCTCTATTTGCACTTGGCTCTATGCACTTGGCTCTATGCACTTGGCTCTATGCACGGCTCTATGCACTTGGCTCCATGCACTTGGCTCTACGTATTTGACTCCGCGCAAGTGACTCTATGCAAGTTGGTCCGAGAGCTCCGCGCGGAAGAATCCTTCGCGATGCTTTCGGGAAAAAAAACACGACACCCAAAGAAGGCAGGCCAGCAGGCTGCGCGTCCACCCCAAATTCTGCGGCTCCCCTGGCACCAACTCGCGCCTGCACCCGGCTGAGCTTCTCCTCTGCCCGGCGCAGCTGCCCCAACGACGTCTCCAGCTGCCGAGCAGAGCCCCGGACCTCCGAGGCCTTCGCGTCGGAGAATCTCCGAGGCGGTTCTGGTCATGTCGGGGGGAGGGAGGGAAACTGAGTGACTTTCCGAGCGATCTGCTTCTTTCCCCAACCCACGGAAAAAAAGCTAAGCGTAGATTTCGGGAAACTTGAAATCAAAGGAAGCCAAGCCAACTGTCCATCCCTGCCGGGAAACCACATCAATATTCCAACCCTTCAAGATGACCACATCTTAGATTCGCAGAGACTCAGATGGAGCGGCGCAGGGAAGCCAGGAGCCGCGGTCCCGAGGAAAACCGCCGGACTCGGATATCGGGCCTGAAACGGCCACAAGCCACACACAAAACACGGAGATTTACGATGCAACGGTTTGACCGGATTCTGACTAGACGTAATGCTCACGACTTTATAAGAGCTCAGAAGGGCAGTGCATGCCCAAATCTAATCAAGTGAAGTTGAACAGCTGGTGGCTCTAAAGTAATGTCACTGAGCCCAAGACATCCAGTACCATGCCCCGAATGATTTCTCCACAGGCGCCCGGTCCCCACAAGGCCCTAGGGGTCAGTCGTCAACTGTGGATGGACAAAAGTCCGCTTCGCATCAGTGCATCCATAGGGTTTTGTTCATCCCGAATGGTGCGAAGTGGATTTTGTCCTCCATCCCAACTGGTGAGAGGTGGATTCTGTCTCCATCCCAGGTCTTCCCTTTCATTGCAGATTCACAGAGTTCCTTGCAGAGTTTGCCACAGCCCTTGGGCAAGAAATCCACTGCCCCGTGTCCGGTGAATGGCTTCGCCGGGACATCAACCGAAAAGGTGTGAAGTGATTTGCCGACTGGTGAAACAACCCCAGCGGAAGCAAACAAACTTACAAAACACAAGGTTCGCAAGGCAGAAACCGTGTGACGCTTGACGTGCTTTTTGTTCTGAAGTGAGGGATCCACGCAAAAGGTGATGGTCTGAGGGGGTTCTATGTTTATAAGCTGAAGAGTCCATTCGCCCGCCTCATCTTTCCTCAGCTCCTCTGCTGAAGACCTGCGATGGTACATGCCAAATCCCGCAGAGATTCGACAAAAATCATCAATCTAGAGCTTTGACACACCGTCCACAAAATTTTGAAAACCATCAGACAGAAAGCTGACAAAAATAACTCACAAGGTTCATCCAGCACCACCAGTAAAACACCAAGTTGGCATACGTTTGAACCAGTTTATTAAGGAGGAATCCCCAAACAGGAGACGTGTGGCCCATCGACCTGACCCGGCCCTGAACTCTTTCTGCAGCTTCCGGCCGCCTCTCCTGGTCCCACTTTAGCAACTTGGAGTTCAAGTCCTCCACGTCCTGGCCCCGAAGCCCGGAAGGAAACTTCACTCAGGGGCCTGGAAAGGGAAGGGGAAGTGCCCTCTTGGGGTCAACCCTTTTTGGAAGATATGTGTTCTACAGAGCCAATGGCCCCCTGTACAAAAGTAAACTCCATCAGAACTGCCAACAATCATGGAACCTGGGTTCCGGGCCGACCCCAAAAGAAGAGTAATCTTCCAAAAACTCCGGTCAGCTTCCATTCCGGAGTCTAGAGTGACTAGCCCATTTTTTGGGTGGAAACATAAACGGCACCCAAGGCACCCAGTTGAAGCCCCACGCCTCTCCTTCTGCAGCCCTCGGACTTTGGCGACGGCGCTCTGCACCTCGCTGACCAACCGCTCCTTCGCGGGAGGAAGGCCTACGAAAGGCTGGGAAGTTTGGTCGCAAGTGGCCAGCGAGTGTTGGTTTGCACTTCTTGGGAGATTTGTTTGCTAGTTCCAAGGTAATCTTACAGGCTTGTTTCTTGAGGAAACAGACATTTGAGACAAGCATGGCACGACCGGCAAAGGTGAATCCTCTGCTTGGCCCACGTGATGATGAACTACCCGTGCTAGCAAATGTTGATCCACTTACCTCCCGTGCCCGTCTTCAAGTGCACACTGCTGCCTTGCAGGGAAGCATGGAATCGAGCATAGCTCCAACTCTCTGGATCCCTCTGGTATAGTACATATGAATGGTGTGTCTCAAAATGGAACCTCTTATGGTTGAAGGAAGCAAACAGGAAAGCAATCCTCACCTAGGGAACACGTATGATTGAACCAATGACTCTCAGTTCTGCGTGTTGGTGCGTGCCGAATGATTGCCACAGGCGAGTCTGGCAAGCAAAGTTCCACTTCAAGTTGATCCAGCTTCTTTATTTACCAATGACCGAGTGTGCGAGACACACGCAGTCAATGTTGCCAACGTGGCAGTGCAAAGCAACATGTCTATGGTTGGCGACCCGGCAGCAGACAACCCGGCAGCAGAAGGCTTCAAAGTTGCCAAACGTGGCAGCACAAAAAGTAACAGCATATGGTTGGCAACCCGGCCGCAAAATACTTGCTGGCATTTCACTTCCCACAGAAAAAAGAGGCGGGCGTTGCCCAAAGCGCAGTCCTCCTTCTCTGCATCTTCGTCAACCTCTTTCCTGAGGCTAAGGAGAGAACGCATGACTGCAAGATCCTTCTGCCTATCAGCCCAGTTGTGATTGCAGACTTTTTTAGGGGATATTTTGTTTCAGCCTGCCGCCCTCACCACAAACCCAGATTAGGCCTGTGAGCTGCTTCCTTGACACTTGCATCTGGTGAAAACAGCTCGGTTTGGCGGGTCAGATCAGTCCAACAGAGAGATGCCACCATGAACTCTGACTCTTGGAGCTGCCTTGATCGGCCGCATGAGCCGGCTCGCTGCTGATGATGATGCACCCCCCTATGAGTTCCTTTTCTGTTGGTGAAGGGGGCCGCCTGCGAGGCCGGCGTCCAAGATCTGACTTCACTAGTTGCATACGCGCCAACACTCCCATAGTGGCCCCAGAGAATACCAAATTGTTGTATACCGCTCTGTTAACACATTCTTGGCCATCCTGAAATACAGCACCCGAGGTTCTCACTTGTTCTCAGCTTTCCGTGGCACCGGACAAGGATGCACTAGGCTCAATCCTCCCAGACTGCAGCATTTTGTCTCAGCAAGCTGAGTAGCGCACAGGAATGACGCGGGTTTGGTGCTACCAGGACACAATGACTCAAGCTTCCCATCAAACCCTCGTCAAACAACTCCAAGACATGCAAAACAACTGAATTCCTTTTGACCCGGAAAGAGAAATTGGACCCCAAAGAAATGTAGAAAAATTGCACCCCAAAGAAATGTAGAACCCCTGTCCGCGCATCAGAACCTTTCAGAAGAGGGTCCAAAAGGTAAACCCTGCAGATCGAATTGCGTGTTGTTTCTGGCAGCCTCTGATGCATTCACAGCCCTGGGAATGAGTGGCGGGTTTCCGACAATGCACCATCCCCTGAATTCCCCACTTTTAGTCTAATAGGAGGGAATGCCTGAAGCCAACCAATTGGGGAGTCCCCAAACCTGAAAACCCATATTTCTCGTCCAACATATTATGTTGGACGAGATCAGTCATCGGCAAGCAACAGGGGGTATTTCCAATTGGAGGTGGAGAAGGAAAACGGGCCGTTCCATCCCATTTTCCTTAAGGCTCATGACTCCTCCTACGCAGGTTAAAAAAAGGGTTCCTTTCTGTGAAGCCAAAGTAGTTGCTTCCCATCCCCGGATTTTGGGACAATCTAAATCCAACAAGTCTTGGCGACCGAAAACACTTTTGGCCCCTGAAACTCCCTTTGCAGTGTCGCTTTTCACCCACCTTTCCCGGCAAAACACAAACAAGCGCCGAGTGTTCGGCGTCTCGCATCCTTTTTGGCTGCAGCCCCTGGGCCCCCGGCGCCTTGCCGCGCTGCTTGTCCAGGCACCACTGCTGCAGCCGCCCGTACTGCAGCTCCTCCTCCCGCAGCTCCGAGTCGCCCCGCACGCGCCTCACTCGCCAACGCGTCGGAAACCCCCTGAGCAGGGCAACGATGGAAATTTGGCAGACGATCAATATTAATATGCAAACCCTACTGCTTGGGCGATCCGACACACAAAGTCCGCAGAGGGCTCACTTTCGACGTTGAGAACTTGCACCGCTCCGCAGCGAGAGCATCCAACCGCCGTTTCGCACGAGCCTGCACAGTCGAGATTAACACGCAGGATTCTACAAAGGACATGTGCGGGAGCCTGCGCAGTCAAAATGAGCGAGACGTGCGTCGGCACCACGATCAAGACACCATGCCCCACACTGACGGTTCGAGCCCCTTGGTGTGTTCGCAGCGTTTGGGGTTTCATTCGCCAGTATGGCACACGCCGTTGGTGTGTGGTCCAGGGTCAGTGGCCGCCAAGAGCTTGCGCAATACGGCAGCTTCTTTCCCAGCACAAAAAAGTCACAGTGAGTCTGATCAGGTCAGTGTAGAAGTCGCTGGTCCAGGGCGAGTCGGAGCGAGGGGGCTGCCGGTGACGGGAGCCGCCGAACCAAGAGGGGAAAAGAAGCGTCGGGAGGTGGTCCGGGGAACGTTAGCTTGCGTGGCCTTGGGCATTGTAGCAGCGCAGCACCAGGCCGTAGGTCTCCAAATAGGCATATGATTTGTTGTCCGGGATTGGCCATGATGATCGCAGCAGATCTTTAAAATCCACAGACATGCACCTGAACATACAACCAATCCTGCCAAATACATGCGCATGAACAAGCAACCAATCGCGCAGGACACGGCCAATTAGCAACACTGACAGGCTGAGATTTCAAGCGCACGACGACCCCACACGCAGGCTAACAGCACTTTTCTCGGAAGAAGCATGAAGCGTCGCCAAACTGTGACGTCTAACAAAAAACACCACGACTGGGCCGGAAAGGGCCGTGTGCGCGGCTGGTCGTGTCAGCGAAAGACCAAGTCGAGGGCAAGACAAGCGCGGATGGAGAGCGCGCGGGGCTGCAAAGCCGCCGTCGGGTCGTTTTCCAACGAAGGGCGAAGCCAAGTGCATCTGCAGCATATCGGAAACTGGTGTGACGGTGACCTGCCTGGGTCGTCCGTGTGCACCGGATCAGGATCAGGGTGGCGATATATCGCTTCCTGAGATCCCCCAGCTCACTCGGCGCCATGACGGGCGAGCCGAGCACTTCGCACACTTTCCAGGAGGGTCCACAAGGGACATATACGTAGACACACGCACGCAAACAAGCACACATGTCACGAAGACAGAGCCGCAAACGCACGCACACACCGACCGTGGAGGAATCTTGCTTTTGAGGGGCCGAACATGTTTGCAAGATCTAAAAAGGATCCACCCTACCAAACGATCCACTCAACATGATGAAAGCGATTCGCATCCCTGGTCAATGCAAATTGCTAGAAGGATCCCCCAAGATAAAAAATATTCCCCACAAGCCAGTGCAGGTTGCCTGGTTTCCTCCAAACTGAGACCACAGGAATCCAACTAAGGCCTTGGACTTACCCCAATTCGCCAAGGCTCATCTGCTCGAGCAGCTCAACCGCCTTGGCCACTGGCGACAGCTGCGACCTGAAGCGGTCATCGGCTTTCTAGCCTGTGGCCACAACTAGACTGTGGCGTCTTCTGGTTTGGGTTTTCGGGAGTCCATATCTAATGAACCTTAAACCAAAGAGGTCCGGGCTCAAAGGGAACCGAAAGGACCTCGATGCCTTTTCGAGGGTTGCCTAAGTTCGGGAAGCACAATATCCATATGCGTCAGGCACTCCGGCAATGGCTCCCCTCACGGAGGCAACCGCGAAACAAGTCCCACTTGCAGGCCGTGTATCCCGGCCGTCGGCTTGAGAAACACGACGGGAAACCTTTCGGAAGGAAGGGCATCGAGACTGAAGTCAACGAAGATCGGAATGATTGAGTCGGTGTGGTTGGGCCCAGTCTGGTTGGAAGAGCTATGCTACCTGCGGGAATAAATGCAGCGTGGGAAAGCAGGCATCCATTTGCTTGAGACAAGGAACACAATGTTTTTCCAGTTCCATCATGCGCCATGTTTAGAATCATAAGCCGAAACCAGCCAGGAAGTATACAAAATTAATTCCTTGAGCAAAAGGAAGCTGGCTTATCCTGAAAGTGACTAGGGACGGGGAAATCGGAGATGAGGGGAGATCGGGATGCTGATTCCCCAAATGGGTGTGTCTAGCCCCAAATCGGTGATAAGGGGAAAATGCGAGGAAACCGACCATTTGAAGGGTTCCCCTAGTCTGTCGCACCCATTCAGCGAGCCATGGTCGATGTTCACTTTCCTCCGGGTGATACCGAATTTATGTACTGGGAGCGGCCCCCGTGTACTCGCTGAGACCCTGGGTGGCCTGTGGGAAAATACCTGGCATTAGAAAACCTTCCGAACCAAACTGAAACCAGCACCATCTATGGTTCAATCATCACCTAAAAGGACGCCTACGAGTGCAACTTCGCAATTCGAATGCCCGAAGCGCTAACTGTTAGCTGTCTTCAAGTGAGCCATCCCCCGAACACTAGACGTCAAGGAAACGTGGGTCGACACATTCCGACAGAGTCTCATGTTCAGACACAATGCAAGGAACAGCATCGCCCCCTGTCCATCGCGCCAAGCCCTTCCAAACTTGGCTGAAAGCAAAATCAAAGAGGTTATATAAAGGTGGTCAGGGTCTGCTTGTCTCGTGCTTGTAAACGCGCCAAATGCTCATTTGCTCGTTAGGCCGTGATAAAATGGCCGCACATCTTCTTCTCGTTTGCTCGCCCCGAACAGCTGGCCAGTCCTTGAAACCAATTTTGGCTCTCAGGGTCAACCCGTTCCTCAAATACGTACAACCTGAGTCTAAGCAACCTCATGCTTTCCTTTAAAGACGGAAACCATCAAACTCACATCAACCGAAGTGGAATTTGAGAACCCCTCAACCTGCCGCCGCTTGAACCCAGCTCTGGGCCTCCGGTTTCGCGTTTCGCTCGCGCGAGAAAAAGACAACTCTCAGCTGAGGCGCCCAGAGGCGAAGCCCAGGAGGCATGCCGCCAGGCGCAGCATCTGAGCGTAAGAACTGGTCCCCTTTAAAGGAACGCCAAAAGGAGGTTTTATTTTGGCAAAATGGTCTCATCCATGTTAGTTGACCAGCTCCAAAAGGAGGTTGATCAAAATGTTAGTTGAGACATGAAACCTGCAAGCAAAAAAGAACGGGCGCACATGTTGAACCACTTCTGATTGGGGCGGTGAGAAAAGAAACATACTTGCTGTTTGCAACAAAAGTGAGTTTGGGTGGCTGATTTGAAAGGCAATCCCCCCACTCATGTCTTTGTTTAACCCAGTATCCTTGAATAGGCGTTGAATTCTCCAGCACGCATCGTTCCTACTCAGAATGATTCCACAAAAACAGGACGTCGTGCCATCTCGCACTTTTTCTTCGCCCCCAAAACAGGCAAACATTTCCTGGGAGTCTCAAGAAAGTTGGAAAGTGGTCAAGGATTTGACTGGCTGAGAAATCAGGTTGATGTGTTGAAGTCAGGATGGCCCGTGCTGGAAATGTCCGGCCCGAGCCGTCTCCAAGTACAAGTGATGCATGCGTCCCCAGCGCCGACATCAACCTGATAAACCGGCTCGCGAGCGATCGCATAGCTCTGGGGTAGACAACGTACCCTGGCTTTCAAAATGTATCATTGTATTGCTCACGCATCATTATATACCAGAATCCAAAACGGGCGAGGTCAAAATGGTGACCGTCGTTGCGCCCCCTTAAGCAGCACAAATTGGCAGACTTGCAAAAGGCCGCCCTTTGTTTGAGTCTCATCAAGAAAATAAAAATTGGAAATTCACTTAGATTCCCCTTTAAATCAACCGCGACCGCCATCTCCTTCCAGCCGCCCCCCCCGAAAGTTGGTTTGTTAAGTTTATTCTTTGAATACCGCCCCGCCACCCCTCCCCCGCCCCTCAACTGTATTACAAGACACACTCAGTTGAAAATCCAATTCTGAGCTGCCGGCTGGCCACTTCGTTACCTCGCTGGTGACACATGAGCGGAGAGCCTTCCCCATAACTACTTCTTCACTTTAACAAGGCGCTAACGACTCCCTGGCATCACAGAAGAAAGCAAAATCCCCTCATTCCACTTTCAACGCAGAGCCAGTCAAATGGGAAATTGTCCCCTCTTCAAACCCGACCTCTTTGCAGCAGTCTGAATCACTCTTCTTGGGAATCTTCGGATCTACAACCTTCCAAGCCCATGGCGCTTACAGAGATCCTGTTGGCAGAGCTCATGCCAAACATATCGGCAGTTCTATTTGATAAAGCTGCTCTATTTGGGCATACAAACCATCTTGGGATCGGGACGTGGGGTATGGCATTCGGCGCCCAATCTGGATACTCTAGAATAGCGAATCCGGGAAACCATGGGAGCCAATTTTGAGGCAAGAAGTGTCCGTAATTAAGAAGTATCAATGGCCAAACAGGGGCTTGAGGTTTTGTTTGCTTACAACCTGCTTATGCTTAGCACCGGTCTCGGTGCTTTGCCCTCGCTACAAGAAGCTGTTGCTTAGAGCTGGCGTGGGGGCGACATCAAGCTCTGAAGCGCCTTTTTTTTTCGGGAATGCAGGCTGGCAATGTCAACAGGACCCTTCGCCTTGAAACCGGACCGTGTCAAAGCAAGTTTCACCCGTTTGCAATCATTCTAGTTTTCATCTCAGAAAATGGCCACAAATTGTCCTCGATGTTTGGCACGTGCCCAGAAATCGCGATGCCGATTTCTCTCGATAGAGCATCTAGATTGGACTCCCAGGTTGTAAAATTGGCTGTAAACCGACCGAGGAGAAAACGCATCCCCCCAACAAAAATCCATCGCCTCGGCGTCCTCTCAGGCCACGCCATCACGCACGTCCGCCCGACTCTCAGCCGAACGGCTCGGTTTTCAAATATTCACAGCCAAAACGTGGACCAGAATATATATATATATATATATGTGAAGCATACCAGCATGTTGATATGATTTTGCTTTGTGGCATGTGATTCCTGGAAGACAAAGGCATTAACCGCTATGCGGCAAAGCCCGGCTTAGAAGCCGAGGAAACCGGTGGAAACCGGTGGAAACCTTTGCACTTGGATCGAGAGTCGGATGTTGGTTTGGCACAGGCTGCCTCTTTGCAGAATGGGCCGCTTCGGCCCATCGCTGCAAAGAATTTCCTCCGGCACTCGTGGGAAAGTGGTGGGGCAGGCCTTTCGCATTTTTCCGGATGCTTCTTTGGAGTGAGCCTTTGCAAAAGTTGGAGGCCTGCCACACGGGCCAGTACGATGGAATCACCAGAAAGGGGGGGGTGCAATGTTCAATCCCAGAAACTGCCGGCTCCAGGAAAGCCATGCCACGTTCAAAGCGGTGCAACATCTGTCCGCATCAATCGGCCAAATTAAGCGCTTTGCAACTGGACTTTTAAAAACATGCAACCGGGGTCTTCAACCCCCTCTCGCCGTACTTCACCCCACAACTGGTGCGTCCAGACTCTTCTCCCGCTTAGGTGTGATAAACCTCCAACCCAAACTGGCTGGTGCTCGGAACCTGTCACTTACTTGCTTATTGCCAACGTTGCTGGTCGGCTGTGGGACCCAGATCCTTCTCATTTGAGCAAAGACCGGCCTAGAAGCCGCAAACCTCTCTAGGCTCTTCGGCATTTTCCCGCTGCCTCTGGCTCGCTCAGTGCCGGCACTGCGATGGAGGTCTTTGCCTCGCTGGTGCTGCGCTGGCGCTGCGCCGGAAAGACTGCCCACGGCACCAACCACTCTTGGGGATCTAAGGAATTGGGGCGTTCCTTTCAGGGCCCCCTTCCCCCCCCCAAGCCAGGCTGACACCCAAGATCAACAAGCCCTGGGCTTGTGTCTACCTGGGGGGGGATAGTCAAACAGTTGAACCCTAGTCTCTAAGACCAAGACAAGGTGTCAAGTGATATTGCGCATGTGAGGACATGCTGCGATAATTGCAATTGCTCCCGAGCAAGGCAGCATTCCTGGCACCTGACTCTGTTTGAAGATTCCCTTGTTTGAGGTTGTGTCAAGGGAAACCAAGTAAACCACCCATTTGGGATGCTCCATGGAAGCTAAAACAAGATGGAATGCTGACATCGGAGCCCCTCTTCTTGGATCACCCCCTCCCAAAGCAGTACAGTAGTTTCCTGATGAATGTAAAACAAGATTCTTGCAAGAAGCCGATATGGGACCGGTACAAACCCATAGTTTGGTAACTTGCTGAATGTGTGGGGGGTCCACTACCAGGCAGTCAGAACTGGGTGAGTTAAGATAGCACCTCCAGAACACCCCAAACAGCACCCTGACCATGCAGCACCAGCCTGGCCCAAACTCGCAAAACAGCCTTCGCCTCTTTAGAAGTAAGAACCCCGCATAGCTGCCATAGCCTTCATCTAGGGCAATAGATCGGTACATGATTCGAGCCAAACTGAAACCGTGGAAATCATCTATGGTTCAGGCAAACTGAAAACAGACAGGACACCTCTGCTCTCCAAACCAAACAAGACGAACATCGTCGCATGCTCGCCCCGAAGATCCAACCTCTCTTTCGCTCGCCTCGTCCGGGGGCCGCAAGGGCGGCGAGCAGCAGATCTGCGGCAGGAGCCTCGGTGCGCAGGTGCCCACAAGCCCCGTCTCTGGGGAGAAACACCGAGCGATCAGGGCGCTGCTTTAGTCTGAGACTGGACAACTGGTGATCTTGAAAGCCTGCGGGAAATGATATGTCTGTCACAATTAGTTGCCTGGCCCTGTGGATGGCACCTCCGTCCGGTTTCTCCGCTTGGATGCAGGAACGGAAACTGGCCCTCTCTTTGTCCATGGCCTCCAATGCTGGTGTGTGTGTGTGAAGATGATCCACGCTTGCGAGCATGCTGCGCAGGACAGCGTTTGTAGTGCACGAACAACGAGGTGATCAATACCTTAGAAGAGGTTAGAGGAAGGCAGGGCGAAGCTGTGAGTCGGCTGCAGTCGGAACGAACGCGCAACTAACACAGGGGGTGTTGCAGTGTTGCTTCTGGGGCATGCGGTGTGAAGCAGAAGCGGCTGAACTCATGGCTGTGGGTCATGAACCTTGGCACCCACGTCCAGAAGCCAGGGCAAGTTGCTGCTGGCAAATGGTCGAGTTGGCACAAAAGCGCCCACAAACCGAGCACCCCGTGGGTGATGAGGATGCTACCACACGCGCGAAAGCCAGACACGGGCATGGCGACGGCAAGCAAATCTTGTGGTACCAGTAACATGCTGGGGGCTCTGCGTTTTGACAAAAATAAAATTTTGCCGGCTGCAAATGTTCTGGGCAAAAGCGGAGCTGTAGAGTTCCAGGAACTTGCCGACAACTTTCCTTGGACTGCAGGCAGGGGGTATGGTGGACACTTATATAGAGCGTATTCTGCAACCGAGCAATCAATGGCTTTTTCGGCTGCTGCTGCAAACGGCTTCCCTGGACCTGTGCGGGGTCTGTTTGAGGTCCTCGAGATTGGATCTGGCCCAAGACTTGCGAAAGCAAGGGGTCTCAGTCAGCTATGCTGCGTTTCACGATATGCGGTGGTTTCGAGCCTGCCATGTTTGAGAGGTTCCAAACGTTGGGCACCACGACGAATTAAGCGGCGGTCTTTCGCGGAGAACGTGGCTTGCCTGTATCACCCGGAAAGGCCACTGGGGCAGGACCGGGCGGAGAACCTTGGAGCGCAAGCAGTCGAACGGAGCCCTGTGGCTCGCTGAAAGTGGACATCCAGAAGGTGAGGGAAGGCAGGTGGACGGATGGGGCCGATCAAAGGATGGGGGGCCCGAGGGCCCGGGCTGGCACTGGACCTTCCCCCAGAACCTCTGCACTGGCGCCGGGGTCAGCCACTCCGCCACCCGCGACCTCAGAGCGGCGAGAGCCGCCCGCGGTTTGCGCTTTGGTCGGCTTCGAAGGCAACCAAAAGGGAGCCACCCGTTGAATTCCAGAACCCATATTTCCCATAGCATTACACCACTAAAGGGAACCCGCTTCTAAATGATTGACTACGCACTTGCAATGTTTGATCCTTCCAAAAAGGGGAGTATGAGGACACCTGATGCAAGATGGCCGCCTCGCTCGAAGAGAGGCAAGGCAAAACATGGAGCCAAGGATGCCCAAATCGAACATCATCATGAGGTGAAAGGCTTGAACCCAGGATCGGCCACACGGACAGGAAGATTCTGAATCAAATTGCCGCAGCCAAAATGAAGATTTGGAAAAGCAAAACAGGCTCCCCTCAAAAACCGGACAAGGTGGCCTTAGCACGAAATCTGGAAATGCATGCACCCAATGCTCGGGTACCCTTTAAACAAGCTTTAAACAGGGTGACAAAAAACAGCTCTTGTACAGCCACAAGCGGTTTGTGGTGGATGCTGTCACAACTGAAAAATGCTATGCTGCAGCAACTCTCTCATGGTGCGACGGGACGGGAGCTTTGCTCAATTCCAGCGCTTCTTCTGGTTCTGCACAACCCCTGGAGAATGCATGGAGTGATCGAGCATGTTCAGCCAAGTCTGCGGTGATTTGTCAGCTGTGCGAGCTTGTATGCAGGTGTTGTCGGATTTGCTTTGATTTCGACCCTGCTCAGAGGAAGCTTTGAGTTGGCGACATGATGGATAGAACGCTTACAACAAGAACTGGTTGAAACCCAGTGTCATAACGCCTTGAGGAAAGATAAGGAAAATAAAGCTCTTTCCCGGACCTAAACAAATATAGGGAGGATGCAATCAGGGCTGGTCCCGGTGAAGCGTTCAGAGTCATGCTGCATCTGTCTGCATCTGTCTCACCATTTGACAGGTAGTTCGTTTCACCGACCCGCCCCCATGTTCTTGACGACCCCATCTTAGAACAGGGCATCTCCCCTCCTCTTTTTGATGCTTTTGCAGACAGACCCATCGGCAAAGGCGGGCATCCAGTGAGGCAGGGTTGTGGGAATTGCGCACGTCTGTGCTACCACCTTCGCTTGACAACTTCCTCACTCAAAGCAGGGTAGCCGTTCACTGAAGTGGCAAAAAATGCCAACCTCATTCCCACAAGCCCGTTTGGCACGCTGACTCCCCAGAATCAGGCCTGAATGAGCGGTTAAATTGACGAAAACATCGGGGCTCGTATTGAGGTGTGTTGGCGCCCGCCCCTCATTCCCTGATTCTGCTGCACTTCAATACACCCAAGCTCAGTTTCTGCTGGAAGCCCGGGCTTCCTCAAATATTCAGGCATTCCGAGATTCCGGTGGAAGCTCCAACGTCGACTACGGTGAAAGCCCGTTGAGAGCTCCGACCCTCCAACGTCCACTCTGGAATGAGTGATTCTTTCATCTTGGTCAAACAAAAAAGAAAAGCCTTCTTCTTTTTGCAGGGGGTCTCTTCAGAAAGGAAAGCCCCACCCTTGGGGTGGTCTTCCAGCCATACCCACTCCTTCCCCGGCCGCAGCGGCGCAGCGCTGGCCGCGCGTTGCAGCAGCGTCTCGGAGGTCTCGGAGGCCCAGGAGCCCTCCGAGGGGGGCGTCCAGCGCTGGATGAGCTCCTCGGGTCAAAACCCAAACCCCTGGTGAACATCAAAATAGGTACATGGGCTCTCTCATCCGCCCCAAAATGGAGAAATGCACAGGTTATATGCCGCATGGCCATGTGTTCCCCCCCCCCCCCGGTGCAGCCGGAGAGTGGTCCGTTTTGGAAGGAAACCAAAAGATCTCACCTTTCATGCGAACGTCTGCATGTGAACGGCATATCAGCGCAGGAAAGTGTGTCACCTTTCAAACCAACTATTAAAAAATAAGGTCCGGTAAATTTGACAAAATACATTTGAACATGTCCTCACATCGCGCCAGTCAAAGTTGCTTCCGAGTCGCATCTTCTTCCGACGTCTCGCCAAGGTCTGTGCCAGAGGTGTATGCCTGACGCACCGTGAATGAGGTCGGGGAACATCTAGAAGTCGTCTCAAACAAAATCTGGGGCCGTCGTTGGCGTTCTCTAAGTGGACGCCTTAGAAAGAAGTTCGAATGCCCCCACCCGCCCATCAGCGAAAGCGCCTCTCTCTGCGTTGAAATTGTTTGCCAGTGGTCTTCCGCTTTTGCTGTCGCTGGCTTGTTTTGCGGGTTTGTAGACATTGTTGGCAGATTCATGCTCCAAGTTACTACTTATGTGCGTGGACACACTTCAACACCCGCTGGCCAAATGATAAGCACGCCCACACAATTGTTCCCAAAACCCGCTTGCCGCACGACTGCAAACGGTCACGCTTCAACGCGCGGGAATCGCCATGAGTGTGGCACATGCGTGGGGAGTTGGAGGCCAATTGGCTAGTTGGGTCACAACCCCCTGGAGAAATGGCCCTGGCGCCTCCTGCATCAGCCTCGAGGCAGCCACCACGGACGCTGGGTCCAGCGTCCCCGGCGCCTCCGCCAGCTCCGTCGCCGGCTTCAGCACCGGGCGCGCGGCTGCCGCGGGCGGCTTTACCTGACGGCGTCTCGTTCAGAGTTTCTACGTGTGATTCTTACCCATTTTCCCGGTGCAAAGTGTTTGCCGGTTTTTTTCAGGCGTCTCCGACACAGGCCATGCCTGGTGGAGCAGATGCTTCAGCGCCGCTTTTCTTCGGAGTCGTTTCTATAAGGGGAAGGAGCCGAGTTCCGCTGAACTCGTCTTCCCACCGAAGGCGAGTTCAACAAACACCGGACAAACAGCTCGCCAGGTGAGCGAGTGTGCCTTTTGCATCCAGGTGTTTACGAACGTTGGGGAGCCCCTTTTAAGGACAACCATCACTTTTGAGAGACTCGCGACGAGAACCAAGACACCACTTCAGAGGGCCAAGTGAGGTCCTGGTTGCGCAGCTTAGCCAATGGTCAATGGCTGTGTCAGCAGGGATCCTATCAGTTCCTGTTCAAAATCCCGTAAGAGGGATGTCCTTCCCTTGCTCAACTACAACAAGCCAAGGTTGTGTTTCTTTCTGCTGGCAGGGGTGGTGGCGTCCTCCTGAATCGTTCGCCGACCCTAGCACTCAAGGTGTTTCGAATCCCAGACTTCGGATCGTCTGTTGACCGCTCAAGGAGAAACACAAACATCACACCGACTCGGCTTCCACTTCCCAGCCCTATCAACCACATGGAGCCTGAGAGGTGTGGCGCAAGGAGAAGAGCTCATGAAATCTGCTGGCACACGCTGCGGCCGCAAGGAGATTTCACCCCTCATTGGTTTGAGCCCCCCCCCCCCCCCGCACCCCGCCCAAAACCCTCCCGCTCCCTTCCCCCGAAAACCCTGCCTGGCGCGGAGGTGGAGGCTGGTGCAGCGGTGGGTCCTGGTCCGGTTGATGCCCAAAGCGAGGCTCGCACGTTCAAACTTTTTGGCCATGGGGGGATGTTTGAGCACCCTTTGGTGGACACCATTTGCCTGCTTTATTTCCCTTCATCTTTGCCGGTCCTCAGCAAAATTCATAGACGGTTGGAGATCGTACAACTATGGAGGTACCCCCTTTCGTATTGTTGTATCTAGGCAGTCTGTGGGGAGGCTCCTACCAACGCCTTATGGCTTGGAGGGGCCACGCAGGTTCCAGGAAATTCACTTGACCACTGGACATAGACAAAAGAGCAGGCCCCTGCAAAAAGAAAGAGTGAAAGATTGAAAACCCAGGGAATGCTGTTTGAAAGGAGCTTGACCATTCAAATGAAATGCTGCAAGCGTGCCAAGCAGTGCCAGTTCAACAGATTTGAACATCAGCATGAACTCCAGAAACTTGCACGTCATATGCAAGTGTAACATGCATGAAGGTCGCGCTGACCAAGCCTGCAGGCAAGCCTGCGCATCCCATCCCTCAATCCCCCCCACCGCTTAGGCGCCTTGCGCCGCACCGCCGGCTGCGGCGGCGGCAGCCGCGGCACCCGCGGAGGCTCCGGGGGCTCCTCGGCGCCCCGCGGGCCGGGCAGCGCCGGCGCGCGCGCGGCGCGCGCGCCCGGCGAGGGGCTGCCGGGCCGGGGTAGCGCCTGGCACGGAACTTTCACGCCACTGTCACCTACTGCTGTTCTGCAAAAATGTTTATCAGTATTGGTATTTAGAGACTAAAAGGCTTCCCTGCGGGGTTGCCCAGGACTCTTGGCATGTCTGCGAACTCCCTTCAGGACCTGCGCAGAATGAATTTGAGCCGGGGGCCGGAGCTTCCACCCTTCAAAAGAAGCCCCTTTCTAGACCGATTTGTTCCGCAGTTTCTTACGAATTTCTTTGTTGGCAAGTCACAAGTCCCACAGCCGATAGGACGAATTCATGTCCAAATGCACGCAGCGGCATCAAGCTCGAGCGGACTTCAAATCCTCTTGGACGGATCAGGGTGAGGAGCACTCCACATGCCAAAACGAGAAACATGCTCCCATTCAAGGAAACCGAAAACAAATTGATGCGTGATGTACCTCATCATTAATGTAGCACAAACGACAGATCAGTCGGCCCGAGTCAACATCTAGGTCGACTCGAAATACAATTAGCATGACCAAGAAAGCGCCATATAATTGCAAGAAGGTACAGTCTGAGAACGTTGAATAACTCACTGTTCTGAAAGGTCAACATGCAATTTGAAGAGACATCTTCTCTTGGAGCTGCACTTTGTTGCTGTCCCTGCGTCCCACTGGTGAGAGTACAATACACCCTTGTTGAGCTGCATGCAGCATGACAATTTTGTTGCCAGGTCACGGTCGTGGCTGTCTCGGGTGTGCGATTGGAAAATCGTGAATCGCGAAGCGTTGAGCATAGCTGGCTATCACTGAAGTAACCCGCTGCGTTGTCGTTTGAGCAGTCTCCTTCTTTTGCACTCGTCAAGAAGTTCACCAAGTTGATCTAAGCGACGGAAGCGTAAGATGTGTTTCCGTGAGCCTCGCAACTGTGGCGATTTGAGTTGCTTGGATTGAAGTGATGGCCCTCCTTTGTGTCCTTTGTGTCCTTTGTGTCCTTTGTGCCTTCTCAACCTATTCGATGCAACCAAAGCGTGGCACAGCGCTCGGTGCAACCCACGCCTTGGGCGCCTCCATGCATCGCTCGCTGGGGAAGGCGGGCGCTCGCGGCTCTGGGCGCTGTTTTCCGCGCGCGGCGCGCGGAAGGGCGCTCGGTGGTTGAACAGCTGGGTGACCCAAAGGGGCCTGAAACTAATGGGCTTCTACTTGGATGCACACATCCTTTGCGAACCGGTACTAAAATTTAAAACCCGTTTAGGCCCCCTGACTGATTTTTCGGGCATCGCCGCGGCGTGGTGGTTTCGTTGCTGGGTTGTTCGGGCTATGAGGATAACACCATGGTGGCACGGCAACTGGAAAGTCCCGAAAGGGTTGCAAGAAAAGATGCAAGGAAGGCCCAGTCTGAATGTCTGGACTTGTGAGCCCAATGGTTGGGATACGCTGTTCTTGCCGCCTGGCAGGCCCCTCTGATTGTACGCGTGGTCTTACAGACTCGATTCGGCCAAAGATGAGAGGAAAATCTGGGCGCGCCTTTGGATCAAACTGAGCCAGGCCCAAATGCTGAGCCCGAAATCCGAGAAGCTTCATGGAAGAGGGCCCCAAGCTTCATGCCTCAATCGTATATGCAACAAGCCTATCGGGCCCTGGGCCTTGCGCACAAACATCATTGGGCCTCTTGCTTCTGCCAGCCCAATTTCACACGCCGAGTCATGACTTGTCCGTTCTGAATTCGTGAATTGGCTCGAGCCGATGTGCGGCGGATGCCTCGTCTGTCCGAAAATGCAAACGCCTCACCTCCATGGCCCCGAGCCTTTCGTGAATGGACTTCTCTCAAAAATCGGCTGCAACTTTGGGGCCCGGCTCCCTGCGAATCCGCGGCTTTTCCTTTTCGGCTCTAGCAAAGGTCGCTTACGGGCCCTGGCGGAACCCGGCGGCTCGTGAGACCCCGGCATGCCCCCGGCCACTCCCACTTGGAGGGCCTCGCAGGCTGGCTGCTTGCTGGTTGAGTCGAACTCGACTTGGGTGTTTTTATTTTTTTATTTTTTTTTTTCGAATAATTTGACAACGATGCGCACCCAAAATGGTTCGGTCTGTCATCAGGAAGACGTTGAAGTTGCAATACTAAATCGTAGTTCTGTTCACATACCTTCTCATCACAAAACTCTGAAATTAGATATGCAGACTTCTCTACAACCACTGGCCTTGGAAGAGCAAAAAGCAGAGCGGGGTGGTCACGAGCCTTCTGGCGCCCTCAAATCATGAGGGACAGGTCCTAGCATCAGATCAACTGTGCAAGGTGCGGTCTCGGCGATTTTCAGGCGACTCCGGATACTCCGGACCTCACAGGTCTCCGAGGCTGTTGCTCTTGGGACGAGCTGGCGGATTGTCAACCAGTGAAGTGGCGGGAGTCGGACCCCGTCAAAGCGTCCCCGGCCGCAGAAAAAGGGGCCCCTGCTGCTCCGGGACGTCTCAAAAGGTGCTCATGCGGATCACGGGAGTGACGCTGAGCGCTGCAATATTCAAAGCTTGAAGTACAACCACATACAGGGGGTGTCCTTTTGAGGGTGCACTTCTTGGGGTTATTTTTGTTCAGGGAAACCAAAGGAAACCGACCCATTTTGGGGTACCCCTTTTTTGAGACAGCCCGTGGGCTCTCACCGCCACGCAGATATCATGGGAACCCCCAAACACCCCAGGTCTGCAATTCTGGACGCGTCGCGCACGCCGTTTCCTGCATGGAACGCAAGCTAGCCGAACAACCAATCAAACCAAGCAACGGCACCCATCAAATCAAGCCAAACCAACCCACCAAATCCATCGAACCAGACCAAACAGGATGTTGGTTTGAGGGTTCCAAAAAGAAAACATATTCCCCTATTTGTGACCCGCGTCCCTTTTGAGTTTCCTTTAAGGCCAGGGAAGTCACAAGAGGGAAAACCAGCATCCCTTTTTGAACCATCCTCTTTGCTTAGCCGAGACCACATCCAGCTGGCAGCCTGTCTAGCTGCGGCTGTCCGGCATGAGGCCCGTAGCGCAAGGAACGGAAACCTTGGCTCAAAAGCTGAAAGCTGATGGCTCGCTAAGATGTAGAGGGCCCTTTTGAAACCGATCTCTGCTGAGTTTACTGCAACTCAAGGACTGGGAGTAATCCTCAAGTCCTCAAGCCTTCGTTGGTGGAGTTCACGTGAGCCATGGCCCAGCTGAATCCCACAGGTCAGCAGCAAGTTGTCCCCGATTGGATCAGTCAGTTGTGGCCATGGCGCCCGAAGCATCCAAAGGCACATTTGACAGGCGGGCAGGAAAGAAGCCACACACGCAACACACATGTGCTCGAGTCGGGATGCGATCCAAGGCGTCCATTCATGCACTTGGCTGATCTGCAAAAAAGAAGGCTCTCGCGCTGTCGCGCTGTCGCAGGGAGCACCACTGCGCACTGCGCCAAGTTGTCTACTTTGTGCCTGATATCTTCAGGTGAAGGACTCTGTCTCAATCAGGGGAAGCAGTCCAAAGTGAAGGATCCACTGAAACGCGACATGCACTTATTACTTCGGCACGGGGGTTGTCCATCGTAGATTCCCATAGGGCCTTTCAGGGGCCGCCCATGTCGTCCAGTGGGCGCAAAGCAAAGGGAAGCCAGAAGGAAGCAAAAGCCAACCCAGCTCGTGCAATCATGAGGAGCGCTCTCAGGAGAGGGCTTCATACAAACAGTGAAGGTGTCCATCCTCATACACAACCCTGCTTTGCACTTTTATGCTTGCCGGAAGAGGTCTTCGGGGAAGTGATCCGCCCAGGGGGCGCTCCCTTCGACATTCGAAAACTCCAAGGCAGGATCGAGCGCTCCAAAGATGCCGTGCAAAAAAAGAAGCCGGAGCAACTCGTGGGGACGAAGATATGGGTAGGGTACCCCAGTTAGGACCTTGGATTCAAGGCAGTCTACCCCCTTGAACCGATCAAGCTGGTGGCCGCTTGATTGTGATGCATGGCCATAAGAATTTACACACAGAAAACAAGTGCTCTTTGTGCCACTTGATCGCTCAAAACAGCAAATGTGAACGGCAGCAAAAATATATACATTTGAGTGCATACGGCTCATTACGAGTTGTGCAGTCCCATTTTGTCGTAGCAAATGTGTTCGTACCCATCCTAGTCGATCCAAATTGCTTGTGAATAGAAAGGGAACCTCCCTGTTAGGCTCAGGGGGACACGGGTCAGTAAAGCCACCAGGAATTCCTTAAGCATTCTTCTCAGGCTTTGTGCTGCGCTCCGTGGCTTGCAGCCCGATCCGGCACGGGAAGAGTTGAGTCGCTGAACGGCCGCCCAAAGCACGTCCAACACTCGAGGCCCGGGGGGGTCGGCGGGGGGGAGCGTTTGATCGCAAACCGGACAAAGAATTGGGGGGTGCCATGGATGGTGAGAATTGCAGATGGCCTCCTTCAGGGTCTGTTGTCAGGCTTCATCGACTTGGTTGTACCAGGGATCAGAAACTTGCCGAACTGAAACGGCAAAGCTCCCATATGAAGTAAGATATCGGTTCTGTCGGAGATTTCAGGGTCGCGGTTGGGGGGGATATCTCATGTTGATCTGCTCTGGCGTCGCGCAATCCTTCCGCTCGATCTCCTTGGCAAGGGTGACACTTTTGGCCATCTGGCACCGATGTCCGACTCCGAAGCGATCTTGGGGCTAGTCGAGAGGCAAAGGGCTCCATGCTCTGCAAATGGGTCGCAAGGGGCTGGCCCTAGGTGAAGGCTCTCGTTCCGGACGCAAATAGTCTTTCGCCCCAGCTAAGGACTCCAATTGTTTCACTCTAGCAGCTTTCTGGCACTTCTTTCAGCACTGGGCATCCAAACAAGCCACAGAAAAGCAAGAAGAACCCAAACTGTCGCTTGTTTTCCCAGGCGGCCGTTGCCATAGGCCTTCGGATCGGCGGGGTGCCTGTGTGAAACTGGCGCTAAGGCGCACGG